TTTCTGTCTTAAATATGGTCAAATTTGGGGTTTCTCGAAAACACATTTATTTATCATATTAATCCACACAAGACTACCAACAATGGGCAAAAGTAAAATGGACCTAAAAGACTAAATTTCAGTTTACTATGATAAATCGGTATTTTTTGTTAAAACTAAATTTATAAAACTAATTTCATTTAGCCATATACTTAAGTTAAAGTTAAAGGAAATTAGCTAACATCTATAAAATAAAACTTTTTCTGTAATCAATTTATAACTAATTATTTGTTCATTTAGTTTTACAAATAAAAAAACAGAAACCTATATACAAAACTATTCAATAGGATAGTAAAGTATAAAAAAGTAATTAAGAATAGAAGAAGAAAAAACTTATAAATAGAAAAAGAAAGCCATTATTAGCTTATTTACAGTGAATGTGATTATGTGATGATAAAGGAGTTGTTTAAAATTTTTTCATCTTATAGATAGAAGAAAAAATGCACATATTAATTTAAAGGTGGTAAAAATGTTTTTGTTTTAAAAAATTTTTTAAATTCACATTTTTTGTTGTTGTAATTTCTGTGGTAGGTGGGTAATAAAAAGAATAATTGTATAATTTAAAGTAAAAAATAAAAAAAAATATATATATTTATAGAAATAGTAGTAGTAAAAGCAACTATTCAAGAATTTGTTTGTGTTAAAAAGCAAAATAATTAAAACTAATGGAAATTTTCTTTTTTTGTTTTCATATCATTTAAATCTCATTACATGCTGTACTTTAAAGAAAAAGAAAATAAAATGCCGCAACCTTGTTCATTAATATCAATAGGTCACCAAAATAAATATGTAAAACTTCAAATTCAAACTAAAAAATAAATATAATAAAAATAAACTAAAACTAAAGGAAATAAATTATTATACCAAACTAATAATAGTAATTAATTAAATACATAAAAAATTACAAAGTGCACCTCTCAGTTGTGTTGTCAAAAGGTTAATTACATTTTTTTAAAAGAGATACAAAATTTAAAATATTTTCTTGTTTTTTTGTTTTCAGATTTTTGTTTATATACAAAAGCATTTTAAAGAAATCATTAGTCTTCCATTAAACATTTAAATAAGATTTGATTTTTGTATATTATTTACATTAATAATTACAGAACAACACTTACCTCATCGAAAAACACTTGAGTTTTACGCAAAATATGTTTCAATTCGGTCAACTCCAAAAAATTACGCTTTAAAGCTTCGGCATTTTGATTAACCTCACGTAATTCATTTTCAAGTTTTTCAAAAGTAGCCTAAACAATATAAAATCATTAAAATTAAAGCGACAAAAACAAATATTTTTTTATTGTCCCACCTCCAAATCAATCATTTCCCTAGGTTGAGGAGCTTCAGGACTTTCACCGGTATCTAACATAGGTATGCCATCTTTCTTAATCTCCTTTTCCAAATAACGCAGTTTACGTTCCATTTCATCGCAACGTCTCACTTCATTGACGAATTTTCGTTGAAATGCATTAACATCAGGATTTAGCTAAAGTAAAATTATATTGAGATTAATATATTTACAATTGATGTTATCTTTTAATCGTTTAATTTTTACTTACATCTCTGAATTGCACTAAACCCAATTCACCTAATTCCGATACACAGGCATAGGCTGCCTCACTTTGCAGAAATAACTGACATAATGTCATTTCCTCACTACGAAATAGTGAACCCATTTTGAATGGCTTTTAAAGTTTCGTTACCGCTGTATTGAAATTTATTAAAATTACACTCTGCTATGTAGACTTAAGATGAATTGAATCTGAAATATTGTAATAAAGAGAGAAATGTTATGATTCCTTTATTTAAGATCTATCGAAAGAGCACCAGCCATGAATGCTCAATTCAATAACGGAAATCCCATCAAAACTACTATAAATTAAAAAAATATATTGCCTGTATTTTATTGGCGATATCACAGCAAATACAAGTGATATTTACAATTTAAAAAGTATTTTTTGGGAAAAAGTATAACAAATTGTCCTTACTTTGTCGTCACTTTTTGATAATTTATGGTTGCTCCAAGATTTATATTAAAATCCTATATTAAAGAAAGAATAATGTTTAACAGAGAGTGAAACTGTATTCTAAAGTCGAGAGATTGAACTTTCAGATGACACAAAAGATTTTATAAATAAATGTGTCTTCGCGCTATTGTAATGTCGTAAATTTTATGAATTTATGTATATGTATCTCCAAAACCTAATGGCAGGTACATTGATGAGATGCCAACCTCGTCAACACTAGGTCCATGCAGAACTCGCAGCTCACGCTATTTATTGTTTACCCTTTGAGGCGATTACGTGGTCCACTATCTTATTGTTGACCAGATCATCTACCTTACTCTGCTGGTCTATTGAAATTTTGCCCGTTGTAGTACCGGCATTGTATACAGCATAGCAGTGATCATTCAGGTGTCTTCTCTTGGCAACTTTGGTTTAAGATGACGGCTCTTTTCCTTTTCCACCGTTTAGCTTCTCCTTCCTCGTTTTTTGTGACTTCTTTTGAGATACCCTTAAATTAGAGGTGGATTTCGCCGCCATGTTCGTCTTCGGAATAACACCCTTACTCGCAGGATTCTGACTTGAGGTTCCTTTGAGTGTGATATGACAGGGAGCTCTTTTTCATCTTAGGCTTCATCGTTTTTGGTATTCGCTATGATGGTGTTGATATTATTATCAAAGTCCGAACCCTATATTTAAAGGCTGAGATACATCCTTATCGTTCACACACCCCCCCCCCCCCCTCCCATTGGATGCTTTACACTTGACGCATTGTCCGAAGGCCAAGGTACCCACCTCCGTTGTAGTCTTTTGCTCACGATTGCAGGATGACGACAACACATGACTCACTAGCATATTACTTAGGTCCTGCACCCTGATTTTTTAATTTTTATTTTCCACATTTGTCTTTTTCCAGTATTTTGGTCCGGGGAAATACAAGATTTTCATGTGATGGACAGTCTGCCCTCCCTCAGCTTAAGTGGAACTATAGTTGGGAAAAGACAGATTGTCCATCAACACCCCTAATCGGCCACCGAGCACAGTACTTTCTATTGAGTAAAAATATCGATTACTTCCGGCAGCCATGCCCTTTCCGTTTAATATTTAACTATCATAAAATGACATTAGGGTGCTAATTAAATATTTATAGCAGACAATTAGATGATAAAGTGCAGCATAGAATCTATTTTCATTTGACAATGACAATTTAAATATTTCCATTTAAAAAGATAATACGCATCTTCTTCCATAACAATACAACAAATTAGTCTGAAGATAACAACTAAAAACTATTCTTAAATTAACAGCACCAACAACAAATAAAATTTATTATTATTCACCATTTGTTTGGAAAAACAAAAACAAAGTGTCATAACAAAGGGAGTTTTTTTCACTCTTATCAGTCAACTTGAGACTCGACCCTGATTCCTAGTGTGCACTACTAAATGATGTGGTACATTTTAAGTTTCAACTTGCACATTAAATTTCACTTATTTATCTCGTTAGGCATTATAAAATTTAAATGAAATTAATGTTCCATGTCATATTTTTCATTACTTTTTCATTAATTTTTTACTTTACTTATTTCTTTTATACGATTGCAATATTTTTTCATGATTCATTCTCGAGTCCATAATCTATTGCAAATTTTATTTGTTTGTATCTTGTGTGTACGGTGGTATACACAAACAAACGACAGACACAAAAACTTACAACGTATACAAGAAAAATCAATAGTTTTTTTCCTATAATGCAATATTGGTGTCTATCAATGGCATCACTTTTAGATTACTTTAATGTTTGCAAATTTTTTTTTATCGCACTTTATAAATTTCTTTTGTTTTATTCTAAAATTTATAGTAGTTTCATCCACTTATTTTGTTGAATAAATTCAATTTAATTTTAATTAATCATTTTAAATAAGGAAAAAATCAGACTCACCTCTTTTGCAAATGAAAAAAATCTACCGAATGAAAAATTTTATCGACGTTTATTGACAGAGTATATTTTTGCTGCTACTATTTTAATACAACCAAGGTGAATGTTTTAAGATGGCAACAACGGCTAATTTATTACTTTTTTTTTATATGAAATTTGAAATGGCAGTGTTTTTGTTAATAATTTTTTATGTATTAGGTTTGACATTTTACTGTTCAAATTTAAACAGCTGTGCTGCGAATAACATCTTATATGTATTTGTCCATACTGCAACCATGTTAACAGCTGTTAAAATGGTTGCATCGTATTTACAATTCGAGCAGCAAGATGCTGGCGACAAAAAATGTATGTTTAATCTTTGACCAGACAAATTTGTTCGTTAAGTTCGAAAAAAGACGAGTTAAATCTTTGTAAATCAAAAATAAAGTGGCATTTTAATTTATTTCATATTCTTTACAAAAAAACATCATTGATGTTATTTGTACATATATTTCTTAAAAATATTTAAGTTCTTTCAAACAAAACTAAATATTTTGTTATGACTTCAACACATAGTTTTTGAAGTTCGTTATGAAACAGAAAATTGTATCAAATTGTACTCGAGGAATTGAAAAAGTAGTTAATTTTTAAATTCTTTCCGAATAACAAACATTTTGCCTAAATTCAATCTATTTCAAAATTGAAAAAAAGTTTTCTTTTTAACACAATTTAATCTGCAAAAGATTGAATGAAAAGTTTTTTTTTTAATTCAAAATATTCTGTATTTTTAAAATGATTTTTTTGCAGTTTGTAATATACGGAACAGAGTTGCTTCGTTGAAGGTATACGTCGATTGGGGGGCTCTATCTGAACTAATTTGATACAATCCAGAAATTTGAGTTTTTAATACAAACAGAGTAAAAAAGACTGAAGTCAAATATTTTGCATCGAAGTGAAAATTCTTTCTAACCTCTGACTTAAAATTTCGGTTTGAAAAACTTCATAAAGGGGTTAATTGCTCTTTTACAAAATACTTTAGAAATGTATGATTTACTAATCATACATAAAAATTATTAAATTACTTCAATTCGAAACTAACAAAAATTTTAAGTGAATATTTTAAAAAACGAGATATAAAACCGAAGAAAACAAAATAAAAAAAAACAGCCAAAAATTCTCAGTTTATGGAAAGGTCATCTTATTTAAACATATATTTGCAACGTTTGAAATATTACAACAGCTTCTCTAATAAGCGTAGAACATTTGTTCCTAAAAAACTCCAAAATAAACAACGTTTAATACCCCTAACAAGAGAAATCGAAAAGGCAATGATGGATTTTAATGGTTCACAATCGAACACTAGCATTTCCGAAAAACCTATCTACAATACACTCTCCATAACGAGCCTAGTTAGGGGTGAAGTTCAAAATATTCTTCAAGAATTATCCATATCCGAACAGTTTATACGCAAAGTAGAAATTGATGATTTAATAGAGAAATGTTTGAAGGAAAAAGTTACAATTATACAAGACACTGATGCTAAAACAAACCATTTGATTCTTAGAGATTTCGATATAAATCAAGAATTTGAAATGACGGTGGAAGAAATGTCTGAGGATAAGGATAGAAGTATGTTGATTGTAGAGAACATACAAATCTTGGAACAACGCATAACAACATTAGAAGAAAGATTAAGTTCGATGCTGCAAAATATTCCAAAATTAAGACATATACAGGCTAAACGTTTTAAAATCAATACAAGTGCCATTAAAGAGGAACTACGTAATATGATACAAAAAATGGAAAAACTACAAGAGGAGCAGACTGTTGCCAGTGTAGCTTTGCAAGATGAAAACGACAATAAGGAAAAATCCTCCACCTTATATGATGATATATATTACGCTAATCGTGAATACACTATAAATTTATTGAATTATAAGAAATCTTTGGAAACAATGGAATTAAATCAAAAGCCCAAATTGAATCCGTACGTAAAACCTGTTAATATGGTTTTGCCACAAGCGCGGGGCAAAATCAAACAACGTCCCTTATTCTTAAAATCAAGTGATATGTGCTTAGGATAAATATTATTAAAATAATCTTTATTAATAAGTATTGATATAAATAAAACGAAATTATAATGTAACATCTTTTAAAATGCTATCACTTATATTAAAAAGAGCCTCTTCGTCTGGCTCAGGCTTGTTGTTATCCGATGCTTTGACATTTTGAATGTTGTTCGTGTTCGGATTGTTTTCATCATTAATTGTTATATTGGCGATTGGAGAATTTACCAAAACTTTTGGTTTCTCGAAAAGCATTGAGTTCTGTAAATAGAAAATAAATAAGTTTAAGTCTGGATAAAACACATTTATAATGAATTTAAGAGTTAATTATTTTGGTGCATCAATTTTTTCCCGCAAGCCTTTGAAAGACATTTCCAATACGGAAATAAATTATTGAATCTCGATACCGGTATTAGTTTCGTTTATCAGCATTAATTTTTAATACTTACATTCAAACTCAAGTTGTGTTCAATCAATGATATATCATTTAGTTTCAGCTTGGGAATATTCATGTCCTCAGCTGTGACTAACGGTTCTAAACGGCCAGAAGGACTAGTGCTTAAATTGGCAAAATTCAAAGAGGCATCCTGCACCTTCTTAACAGCTGCCAATTTCTTAACATAAGTAGAGCCAGTGCTATTTCCACTAGTACCAAAGCCACTAGTATCCAACTGATATTGAGATCGAGCGATGCGTGTACGATCATTCGAATTGAATGGAGTGAATGGTGATTGGTGTAAGATTGTAGGTGAGGCTGTTTTAGTCAACGATAGTGGCGAGGTTTTACTCATATTCGTGGGTTTAAAATGTGTTTTAGGTGTATTGGCCACATTGGTCATATGGGCTGACACAGAGGGTGCCTCTTGGTCATTGAAAAGAGACTGTCGCTGAGTAGTTGTTTCAGGTTTAGGAGAATCACTTATACTTGCTAAACGTAACAATTCCATGGGATCAATAATTTTCGAGCGGTTTACGGTAGTATTCAAATTGGATTGATCTTCCAAATTATGGTTACCTGCCACAGAAGGTGTCTCTTCGTCATTGAAAAGACACTGACGCTGCTTCCACTTTGTGCCCAAGTTTGAAAGATTTAGTTGTGGCGTTGTTGTTTTATATTTAGATGGATCCTTCTTATTTGTCAAACGTAACAATTCCATGGGATCAATTATTTTCGATCGGTTTACGGTGGTATTCAAATTTGATTGATTCACCAAACTATGGTGACGATTTGATCGACTTGTAGAGCATGATGGAGCTAAAATAATTGCTATAATTAAGAAATTAATAATTTTCATTTATTTTATTTACCTAAGAAGTTATTAGAAGTAGTTTCATTTGTGTTTCCTGTTTTAGAATCCACCAGGGCCAATCTTGGTATACCCCCACCCTCAGGTGCAACAAGTTTTATAGATGGAGTGGAAACCAATTTCATTAATAAATTGCTTTCTAAAGTTCGTTTGATAGCATCATGTACATTGGCATGATGAGGTGTTTGTGGACGTTTGGATTTATATTTTTTTATAGCAGTAGTTAGCATTTTTTGAAAATCATCTAATCGTGACTCCTTTGCTTGAAGATCTTTTTTTAAATTTAATAGACCCGAGTACACAACTTCACCAACGCTAGGCCTTTGATCATCGATGCTTAAAGCATTTCTCATTGTTGCATTAATAGCATTGAATGTACAAATAAGGGTATTAATATTAACACCTTCATCAGTAATTTTATTGCCGAAAGATTCTGTAAATTTAATTTAAAGAAGTTTTTATAAAAATGCTAATTTAAATGTTAGCCTATTAGGTTAAGTACCATTACCATTTTCACAAATGCTATAGGGAATGGTTTTAAGTTATTAAGAGTATTATCTATTACGTGGAAGACCTTTACATATGTATTATATAAAAAAACTTACCTTCCTCTAACTGCTCAATTGGAAAATGATCACGTATGCGTCGCAATTGCTCACAGATTCGTTGTTTGTCATATTTATAGCCAGTTTCTTTGCTATAAAATTTATCCATTGCCTCCTTTAGTTCGGCAATCAAGCCATCCATCTCTATAACCTTTTTTGTCCGTTCCATGTAGTGTTGTTCGAAGAGCTGATGATTGCTATTATCGAAATCTTCGAGGAATTTGTCATCGGTTAACAAGTCCACACTTAAACCTGTTTCTTGCGAAAGCATTTCTAATTGTTTCATTAGTTTTTGACTATTGTCATCGAATTTTTTATTAATATTCTCAACAGTGTCTACGAATTCTGATGCCATGTCCTTAAAAACCTCATTTTTGGCACACATTTTCCATAAATTTGCTTCTGAAACTTGAGGGCGGTAATTATTAGCATCCAAATTTAATTGCTTTTCCTTTTGTTTTATTAACTCTTGTACAATAAAGTTTATAAAATCCAAGAGGAAGCTAATAAACTTCATACCTCCTGGCATGACCACCAAATATGATTTTATATTGGTCCAGTTTAATTGATATTTTTCATTTATATACTTGAGGTATTCTACGGTACAAGTGCGGAAATTTGATTCAGAACGTTTGTCCGTAATGGGCCAGAAAAAGCGTTTCTTAAATTCCTGTGCATCAAGAATACGAAATAAATAGTGCATAATATGAAAGAAAGCCTGCTGGTTGGGTTTTATGAACATTTCCTCGGATACACATTTTCGCAAATCTTCTGTGGGTGGATGCAAAAGAAATAAACCCTGAATAGCGTTGTATAAAGTGTGAGATAATTCCTTTTCTTCGGCACGATACGGTACTATAATTGTGCGATCCATCTTGATATTTTTGCAATTAGTAAACTACCTTGGCGCTATTAGTATTTATTTGCAAGAAGCAAAGCGGATAATTTAAAAAAAATACTATTTAATAATGAATTCGCTTTGGATTAGTGCAACTCTAACCAGTGTTGCCAAATTTTCAAGAACATTGTAAACAAAATCGTATAGCCATTTACATGAAACAGTCCAAGTCGACTTTTTTTTCTAATATTTGTAGTAGAAAAGTGGAATAAAAATCGGAAATAAGTGCCAAAAAGTTGAAAACTTCTATGGGTTCTTATAGGTCAAAATTTCTATTTATCAATAATATGAACTTATTGATTTTGACATTCAACCAATGCCCTAAATGCCAATTAAGATAAAGAATGTTTTAATTCAGTGATTTTATCATTTCCTTATAAAGTTACTACTATTCAGACACAAAATAAAATTCAGCAAACCAGTGTTGTTGAATAATTTACGAAACCATTTTATTTACCTATGATCTTCTGGTAAAAACATAGATCCCTAAACCACTTTGTATTAAAGTAACTTTTAATCCTAGGCGTGTAAACCCAGCAAAATCTTTACTTATCCGGTAGGAAGGCAAATAGTATTGGAGTGAAGTGTAAGTACTCACTACTTGTTTTTGTCCGACTTTTTATGCTTACCCGACTTTTCCGAATCTAAAATCGGCTCTTTTTTCCTTTGTGTTTTAGTCTATTCTCGTATTCAATGCACCATTACCAAATTATTTTATAATGCCTTTTGTACCTAACAGTTTTTAAACAGTACCTATGTACATAAATATCAATATTCCAAAAATCTTCTAATATCGACTAATTCCATATTAGATACCTATAAATTCTAGACTAATGATATTGATAACGACCAAGCAATGTATGAAATAAGAACATTACTAAAATTGGCAAATACTTTACTGGGAACAATCTTTTAGAGATATGAGACTTCAAAATTGTTCTTTGAGTAGTCTATGTTGTTCTTTTTACATGTGCCATTTGGAAAATATGATGAAACTGTTTTAGGGATACAAGTTTGTTCAATTGATGAATGTTCCTCGTTTGAACCGAATTTACAAGGGGTGAACAAAATAGAAATACCTATATACATATGTTGCTAGTATTGTGAACGTGGATTCCAGGAAGCGATTAGAATAGTAAAACAAAATCAATAATTTTAAAAAGCAATTTTATTTCTCAAAATATTTATATTTTATTCCACTTTTTATCTACGCATACATATAATTTTCATTATAATTGTATTTATGATGGCGTCGTAATTCTGTTTTTAGATAAATAATGCACGATGTCATTGTAGTATAAAGGAAATCAGGACGTGCTCTTTTCTGCCTTTGTATATCTCCATTTACTCTTGTTGGAGCGTCAACCAGCTTTGCCGCATTATTGTCATTGCCATGACATACAAATGTATGTACTTAACGAAGGTACCAGAGCCGCTGGATGCATAATGCTAAATGCAAAACATTAACATCGATCATATTTTAGGAACAGGAATTTTATTTCCTTCGTACTCCCAGACTAAAATATAAAAGAATAATTTCGTTAAAATCTATGTACTTTTTCATTTAAATCGTTTAATTATTTAATTACAATCAGCAGTGCATATTTCTAAAGCGTACATAACCAAAAAACAAAATCATGACCTCGAGTCAATCTGCTTTTTATTGTTATAACACTTCATGGCCACATTTTACCATGTTCTGTACCCCTGCACAGAATCATCATTTAAAGTATATTTTTCTTATTATATGTAATTTTATTTGCTGTAACTAACCTTTTCAAGTCTTCAATTTTATTTCCCACATGTTAAAATTTAAACAGTTATTTTCATTGTCACTTTAAACAATTCATTTTTCTATTTAATCAATAAAAAAAAATCAACCTCTTCCCACGCGGAATAGTAATACTGTTTTGTTTATGTTGGCAAGAGTTACAGAGCCCTGCGCCGACAAATATTAACGGCGGCGGCGACTGACACTAAGTATGTCGGCGGCGGCTTAAAATCGACTGTAAGCCGGCTAAGTTTTCAACTACGTTTAGTTTTTAAATTTTCAACGATTTTAAATAAAAACGGAATCCGAGAGATCAGAAAGTGGGATTTTGGAAGCAAATATATTGTTTATAACAACAAAACAGATCAAGCTCAAAAGTTGTGTGAGAAATTATGCAGGGATGAATAAAAAATTCTTAAAAATTAAAAACAAATCCTTTCTCCAAGTTTTACGAGGATCTGCCGATATTTAATCCTATCCTCCATATAAAACGTAAAAACAAAGATATTTTATTTGTTTATTTACTAGCTATACCCAGTGTGCTGTGCTACCCTAAAAGCAATATAAATAAGAAATCCTGTTAACGATTTTGATGATTCTAACTACAATGGTTTTCCAGATATACAATTTGTTACATATGGGAGATTCCACGCAAATTATTGCAATTTCTCTAAATGTTCTTCAGTAAAATTTGAAGATTCTAGCTCTATTAGTTTCTCAGATATACGAATTTTTCTACTTAATTCATATGGGAGCTCCAAGCCCCCCAGATGAAAGTCCGCCCTTTTTTCTCCAAAATGTTCAGATGAATATTAAAGTTCTTCGTGCAAAATTTGAAGAATTTAGTCCTATTAGTTTCCCAGATAAACGAATTTTTGTATTTAATTCATATGGGAGGTTCCGCTCCCCTCATTGGTAGTCCCCCAATTTATTACCCAAAATGTTTACATGGATGTTAAAGTTCTTCCAGAACAACATCATTTAAAGGGATCACAAAGAGATTGAAAAATATTCCAAAAGTTTCACTTTGAAAACATTATTAGAGTGTATGAAAACTCGCAACTCTAAAGGCAGACTATTCCTATTTTAGCGGTAATTTCTTTATGATTAAAATAAGTAAGGAGTAAGTGTTATATTCGGCAAATCATTTGTCGTAAAAAAGCAAGTTTCGGAAGTGGTCATATACATATATATGTATATGGACTTTGATCATTATTAATTTTTAATTTATTTTCACAATAAACCTAGCCTGTTGGCCATAATCGGTTACAAATTTCTACTTAAAAAAAATTTTACTTAAAAAATATAATTGAAATATAATATAATAATAATATAAATAATATATATATTAATAAGAACGTCACCGTGATTTTCGGATTAGAGACTTAAATGTGGAATTGGGTCAATTATGGACAAAGTTCTCTATAATTTAAAATATTTGTTTTTTAATTCTACCATAAATCTATCATAATGATAACTTTTGAATGTTTTTTTTCTTCGACATCGACATTTGAAAGCCATTTATGTGCGTTTAAGTAATTTTCTGAAGAAGATTTCATATACATATTTACATTACATATTTTCGTTCCAACAAAGTACGTAGAAAACGTTAAAATCAATTATTGAAGGGAGCAGGGTCAATTATGGCCTATAGACATTTCGATTGATATCGAGCCCTTTTTGCAAAATGGACGTAAGCGAGATAAATTTTCGTTCATTTGGGATACTGCGTGTTTAATTTTATGTTTATATATTCAATATTTTAGACAATTCAAAAAGTACCAGTTAAAGAACGAAAAATTACCAGAAATACTCCAGTTAAAATTTTCATTCACTCAAGTCCCTGATTGCTTAGTTTTATGTTTTTAGGCTCATTATAATAGAAAATTCAAATAGTACCAGTTGAAGAACGAAAAAGTACCAAAAAGTCCTGTTTTATATGTTCTAACTTACTCCATGCCCTACAGGTTTAATTTCATGTCTATAGGTTCAATATTATAAAAAATTCAAAAAGTACCAGTCGAAGAACGAAAAAGTACCAAAAAGTCCCCTTTTATATGTAATAACTTAGTACATTCTTAATTTCATGTTTCTAGGTTCAATATTATAAAAAATTCAAGAAGTACCAGTCGAAGAACGAAAAAGTACTAAAAAGTGCCTTTTTATAGATTACTCCGGGCTCTACATATTTATTTTTATGTTTCTATGTTTAATTTTATGTAAAACTCAAAAAGTACCAGTCGAAGTACGATAAAGTTCCCCTTTTATAGATTCTCATTTACTCCAGGCTCTAAGTGCTTAATTTCATGTTTCGAGGTTCAAATTTTGTAGCAAGCTCAAAAAGTACCAGTCAAAGAACGAAAAAGTACCAAAAAGTGCCATTTTATAGATTCTCATTTACTCAAAAAGTACCTTTTGAAGAACGAAAAAGTACCAAAAAGTCCCCTTTTATAGGACCTCACTTAATCCGGGCTCTACATGCTTAATTTCACGTTTCTAGGTTCATTATTATACAAAAATTAAAATGTACCTTTTGAAGAACCAGGTTCTCACTTAATCGGGGCTCTACACGCTTTCATGTTTCTTATTATAGAAAATTCAAAAAGTTCCTTTTGAAGAACGAAAAAGTACCAAAAAGCCCATATTTATAGTCGAAGTACCAATAAGTCCCATTTTATAGATTTTCATTTACTCCGGACTCTACTTGCTTAATTTCATGTTTCTAGGTTAAATTTTATAGAAAACTCAAAAAGTACCTTTGTAAAACCAAAAAGTTCCGAAAAGTCCCTTAATTATTAATTTCATGTTTCGATTTCAATATCATAGAAAACTCAAAAAGTACCAGTTGGAGAATGAAAAAGTACCAAAAAATATCACTTGGTACCGGTATTCCAAATAACACCCCATTAGTTTATTTAGTGTTTCTTGAATAAAATCAAATTTTCCGTTTTTACCCCTTTTGGTACTTTTTTCCTCCCCATTAACGAAATAAAAATTCTGTTCCAAAATGTTGCAAAATCTTATTGGGAGCCCGTTATTATGTATTCATATGTATAAGTTAATAAAGTAAAAACAATGTTTCATAAAAAAGTACCAAAAATAGGTAAAATTTTCACCCCTTAAACGTCCGAATATCCAAAAAGTACTAAATTCATATTTTTATTTGTTCGTCATGTTATGAAGGATTCAAAAATATCTTTTAATGTTCTCTGGTTTAAAAGATACATGGGGAGCAAAAGAAGTACCAAATTACAGTTTTTACCCGTTTATTCCCCAAAGAGGCCGAATTTGAAAAAATTACCGGACACCTGTCCGCTTTTTTTTAAATGAACGACGATAAGCTTTAACTGTTTTTGTAACTTTTCTAGTTTAGGAGATTTAAGGTTACCGAATTTACGTTTTTAGCCTTTTTAAACCCCAAAAAAATCGAATTTCCAAAAATCCCGTCTAATTGGATACATTTGGTGGGAGATTAACATCCTGCCCAAATTTCAGCTCAAAGAGCTTAAACCGTTTAGGCTCTACGATGGTAAATCAGTCAGTCAGTCGGTAACGTTAGAATTTTATATACGTATGTACATATATAGATTTCGTGCATTGAATTATACTGTAAAAACATTGTAGTGTTCGACTTGAATTCAAGTTTCCTTTTCACTGGAGAATGCTATTGAATTAAAGTGTAATGAAAGTGTATTTCAACACTTGAAATTTGAATGTTTGACTGGAATTAAACTTGTTTTAAACTTTAATTCCAGCAAGAATGCTTTATTTGGTATAGTGTAACAACTATAAGGGATCTAAAGTCGACATAAAGCCCACAATAGTTAGTACCAATATTTTGCCCAAATAACATCTACATACCTAGCCAGGTTATATCCTCTAGGTCCGTGAAGACATTCTCTACAAAGCTATAAATTTGTATAAAAGGCGGCTTAACAATTGTTTCTTGTAAATATTCGGCCACCATAGTGTTTGGAGACAACAAGAGCTTCACTGAAAGGCACACCAGACAGACATCGCGCTCTATTATGAGTGTATGTTAGTGATTCTGCTGAGATCAATTGTATAATAATAAGTATGTATCCCAAGGATACCCCCTGAATACGGCAATCAGCTTCCGTTCATTGCCTCTAGGTGATAATATACCATGTCACCACTAGCCGACCGACCACCACCCGCCTAGGTGACTAGGGAGGTATACAATTACCACTCTCTTGTGGGCATTCTTCCAGGAGACCATCATGATGGCTCCTCTTTCTTGAAAAGAAAGACGTTCTTTACAGACAAATAAATAATTAATTAACACCATTACTTACATTTTTTAATCTTCTAGATCTCACAAATATGCCAAATCTAGATTTCAGTAAACACTTTTGGGTATTAAACGAAAACAAACCCTGCCTGGAAAAACATTTTCATCATAGTTATTAACAATTTAACTAAATTAAACCCAACACTTGCTGTTTCTTTGCACAATGACCCTCGGTATAGTAGTATAGCATACAATTTTATTAATATCAATTGTTAGTAAAAAATTATTTTTTTATTTAAAGAATATCATTTTTGTCATTTTAGATTTTTGCACACACACAACAACAGATTTTTTTTGAAAATAAAAAATGCAGAAAACAGTTTGGCGCGAAAAATTCTAACAGAATTTCTTTTCGCAGTCGGCAGAATTGACATCAACTGCACTTCCCATTTAAAATACACATGTTCGATATCCTAGCCCTTTACGGTATGACATACCAGCAATGTAAAAAGAAGGTGTAGCTCCGTTGACGTCAACGAAGCTGGTTTGAAGTCAAAGCAGCGACTCGAATTAGGCGCGAAAACACGAAAATATCTGAGGCGAAGCATATACATCGAACGTTGAGCAAAGTTCTACACCGGCCAAATTTCAATGAGCGGCTTTTATTAGATAAAAGAAAATTTGCATAAATGAAAACAAATTAATTTTACATTGTAAAATTCCACAAATTTAGCGAAAGTGTTCTGTAAATTGTACAAAATATGGCGAAATTTTCAAGCCGTATTAAGCTGAAAAATTTTCAGCGGCGGCGGCGTCTTTGACATTTTGTTCGGCGGCTAGGCTTAGTCGGCTTAAGCCGAATCGGCGCAAGTCTCTGAAGAGTTATCAAGTAGTTTTAACAAATGTCCCTAGTAAATTTAACTTAACGAAACAAATTACCAGCGTTGCCAATTTTGTTCTAGATTTAGCGCTTTTTTTGAAACAGGCGCTATATCTGCGCGTTTTACATACATATTTTGATTTTGAAGAAATGAAAAATTAGTTTTAATAACTTAAAATTATTCTAGTGGAGCAATAAAGAAAAAACGGAATAGTTTTATACAGTACTAACATTAGGATCCTACAAGTCCTGGTTTTCCGATATTTAATTTATATTTAAATTAGCACTAGCTAGCATCTGCGGCCATCAGCTCGAATTAAATTTATAATTTAATATTATCGTGAAGAACCCAATATTTTTTTCCAATATTTAATTTTGAAAATCAAACATCTGTTTAGACACATTTTCAAATTTCTATCAATCGATTACGATTGGCGATAAGTTTTAAATATCTAAAAATATGTATATTTTAGAAACAAATAAAAAAATATATATTTTTTAAATATTCGTAAAAGTCGACTGCTTAAAAAATAGCTAAATTTTTAAGGTATGTTATAATAATAAAACTTTTTTATTTAAATTTTTGAAAATTTTGTAACTTTTATTTTTGAGCATTTAACATAATTCATTAATGTTTATAAATTAGGTATGTATGTTTGTAACTCTTTATTGTAAGTAAATATTTTATAAAATAACATAAATATTAAATTAAATACTATGTATAATAATTGCAACATAATTTTACAATATAACTCGTATATATTTTTTTAAAATAGAGTTTATGTATTTTATTTTGTATATATTCATTAATTTAAATAAATTCATATATTTAGTATATGTAAAGAAAACGTAAATTTGGCATGCAATTCAATTTTAAACAAGTCGTAATATATATATATTTCAAAATTTATATTTTTATGTTACAACAACATTTGTTATGTAACATTTTTTATACATAAAATATGTATATGTATGTATATATTTTTTCGATTTTGATTTTTTGTGATAATTAAAAACTTTAATTTAAAATTTAATATCGTTATATCGTGTTAAACATTGTGATTTTTATGATATTCCTATAAAGTCTTTCTCTATTACATTTCATTCTTTTATTTCATTTTTGAAACACAACCTTTTTTGAAAAAATATTGCAATCATTTACTCAATAACTTAAATTAATAAATATTAAATAGTTTTAATAATTTATAATGATTCAAAAGAACATTTACAATTTTTTTAATTGTCTTTTCTTTCTTAAGTGTATCCTTTATTATTTCTATTGGACATTATTTGCAGGATGTACATTGTATGTACGTACGATTGTTATCTATTTAGGAAAATATTCAGTTTAAAGTAAAACTAAAAAAGAGATTCAAACTTTAAATTTGTTGCTTACAAATGTGCAGATTTTGATTAAAAGGCAATAATTACAAATAATTTTCATTGCACGTAAGCTGAAGTGGAATTCATTAATAATTTCACTTTTTCATAAAGGAATTCTTTGACAGGTGAATTAAATTTTCAAAATCATGAGAAAATTTCAGACTAACGTGTAATGATTAAAATTTTCTTTGAAATTTAAATAAGTGAATTTCCAAATTAAATCATCAAATCAAAAAATTTTTAAAACTTATATTTTCATCTCTAGATTAACAATTTCGTACATCCCTCTAAAAAACAGCACCATGCATTCATTTTCTTTCACATATATTTTTCATTTTTAAAATCTACTTTGGTTTTTTTCTGTTTGTAACCCGTTTTATGGTGTTCATTTTGGTAATTTATTGCGTTTACCCAATATTTTCATAAGTTGTTTAGACATATAGTATGGTTTCTCTGGAGAACCATCGTTTCTTTCGATATCTTCAAGGAAGCACAAAAATAAAGTATCCACAGCCATGGAATAGACACTAAAGAATACACTCGTTATAAGAAAAGCACATATGGCCACAATAGCGGTGGGCACGGCTATATAATGTAATTGTATAATGGACGGGTTATTTAGTAAAAAGAAATAAGTAGCAACGCCTGCTCCTCCCGTTATCAAGAGTTTAGACATAAAGAATAGAAAATCGGTTACCTTATCCAAAGTAACGACACGCAAAAAATTGCGCATGGTTAAATTGAAAGCATCTTTGGCACTAGTGCAGAAATTTTTACCATGAATGGCGCACATGATGTAGGCATTTTTACTTAGGAAACGTAAAAATGATTCCAGTAACCAAAAGAAGCAGCGCATGCAACAGAGTATGGCTCGTGTTACAGCATTATCATATTTTTTCATCTTCCGATCAATATACTCCAATATCAGACGTATCAAGCGACATATAGCCAGTATGAGTGAACCAAAAGCTAAAGTGCCCAAATGATAGAAGGAAGTCTGGAATATGGCTTTAGTAAGGGTAAAAAAGGGCACATCCTTCTTTTTAAACGTCCAATACCAGGTGGCAAATGTACAGGCTAAAACCATGTCACTAAAAGCACTAATAAAGAATGTCAACCATAAGTAACCAAAGACATTGTAAACAATAAACCAAGTGACCAATGGTGTATGTTTGACTTCAACAAAACTGCACATTGTCTTAGTGCAGGGAGATCTTTGGGACTGTTGAAAGAAGCCCAGTAGAGAAATGTCAGCGTTGTAACAATGATCCTGGAAAATTTGTGGTTCACAACTTGCTCCTACTGTGTAATTTACGGCGGGACCATCACATTTACAGTTCTCTTGGGTGACACCCGTCACACTGTTAGGATCTAGCTGCCTAATCATTCTAAATGAATTTTTACCAATTGAACCCAAATATAGACCAACTCCCACTGCGTATAATATCGCTACAATGAACAGTATCCAGGTAAATATGGGAAAGAAAACTGTCGATTTGACACTGGATACAGCTTTGCTGCCCTCTTTGATTAGAGCCACTGCAATGCTAATACGATTACGTAAAACGATTAACAGCAGCAGTAAGATGACAAAGAATACACATAAAAATATGCTCAGATACAGCCACAAACGTTCGTCCTGTAATTGAAGAAAAAATTGTGGATAATTTTTATTCAAAAGTTGCGTTTAAGTTTACCCACCTGCAAAATATTTTTCACCACTGCATTCAAATTTAGAGCATGTTGTGGCACAGTAGCTTCACGATGATAAAATATATATTTATTAATGCTGAAATAAATGCCCACTACAAGACCAATTAGTACTCCGAAAATGGAAGTCCACAAGAAGGGCGCTGCCAGCCAGCGCATTAAGGCAATGAATATTAACGAGGCCACCAAAGTGCATAACATTGCCGTTAATATCACAATATACGAATTTAAAATGTCCTCTACAACATTTTCGCCTACACGTTGAGCCTCGTGGGTGCCATTAGTGAAATGAGCCACTATGTTGCCAATGAATTTCGCCAGTCTGGTATCGGTTTGTAACATTTTTTCTTTAATAACAGTCTCACCCAATTGCTGACGTCTGCGACATTGTACAACAGGCTCTTCAGCTGGGGCAAGTTTGGCATCTATTGCTGTGGCTGGTTTCACCGCCATAAGAGCCTGCGCTTCGGGAAACATGGTTAATGCTAAAGCTTGTAATTGTTGTTCACTTTGTGTAGCAATTATATTCGTTTGCAGACCCGTTAGATCTCTTTGGTTGCGTTGCAACAGGAAAGCCGGTATATACTCACAGACCTGCGGTGAGAATTCCCACATGCAACGATTTAAGAAGGGTGCACTTTTTATATACCACCTGGCACAGCGTTCCTCATTTATGGCCTTTTGAGCATCCTCCTTGCTGTTTATATTAAACTTATCGTTATCGGTTAGGCAAATCAGTCTAGCTTTCAACTCCTCCAATGAAAGTTGATTTTTCATGGTATCCCAAATGAAAGTCTGCTGTGGACATTGTTCCACACAAACCTGTGGCGTAGGACAGCCCGTTATAGGTACTAGAGGATCTATACATTTGTCGAGATTAAAGAAAAACAAATATTTTTTATTCAAAACACCGGAATCTATGCCACATTTTTTATTAAATGAATCGGTGGGTACGACAAGTTTATTTAAATCTCCATTGCGCCAAGCGTAGGTGGCAATGAAAACCCAAGCTCCCAGGAAGACTAAAAATAATAATAAACAAGGTACATCTGTGCAGGAACGTTTACGCCATAAGGGTGCCTTAAAATTGCGTTCATATGCCAATTTTTTGCCATATTTCGCATCGACTTCTGCCATGTCATTCTGTACACCCGCTTCTCCTACTCTAGTCATATTGTCATTATTTTGTTATAAATAAAATAAGAATAAAACGAACGGAATGTACGACTTTGCGTTACGTACGTAAAACAACAACAATGAACTTCTACTTTTGTTCTCCAAATTCTTTGTGTTGACTCTGGAAATGTAATTAAAAATAATAAGAGAAATGATGACATTTTGTTTAATTCAATTACTTATATACATAAGTATTATATTATTTTATATTAATTTAAATTTAAATTGCATTCAAGTACGTTTCCAACAGAAAAAAACCTAAAAGTGGGTGCGTAGACATCATGTTAATTAGCAAAAGTCATTTTAAAAAGTTGTTATCTATCATTTGTTTTAAAGAATTACCCTATGACTCAGTAACTTTTAATGAAAAGTATTTTTAATTTTTTTTCTTACAAACATTTGCACTTTATTAAAAATTATTAAATTTTCATATTCCCCAGATCTCAGCAACTTTTATTTTCAATAGTTTTGAGTACTGCATTTCAATTTCGAGTTTTGGATATTTCACTTTCGAGTTCTGATATTTAAGTTTTTAGTGAATTTTCATATTGTTAGTTAAAATTTTCATTAAATTAAATTTCGATAAATATTGAATTTTTCATTAAAAAAATTATTTTTAATTAAAAATTTGTACCAAATAAAATATTCAAAATTTAAATTTAATGTAAATTTTTATTCAAAATGATATTTTTTACTAAAATTTTAAATTTTGAATTTTTTTTAGAATATTTTTTGTCCACAAAATGATTTTTATTGGGTTCGACAGGCATTTAGTTTGGTCCATTTCAGAACTTTTTACATTATTTTGGAATTATAAGGGACATATACAGTGAATCAACTAAGTTTTTTGCCTACCTTTTTTTAAGAGAATTTTGTTTTTTGTTCATAAATAAAATTCAAAAAAACAGGTAAAAAGTAAATTTATGTTTTCCAATTGAAAATAAAGATTATGTAGAATGGGAAAACCAGGAAAAAAATATAAAAATAAAAATTTTGGTGCATTTGTTGTTGCATTTTATTATTTTTCATCAGAATTTGCACGTCAATAAAGTATTTTGCATATTGAAATTTCCAGTTAATTTCGTTGGGTTTTTCAAATTATTTTTTAATTGCTTTTTGGAATTTATTGTTAAAAGGACACGTGTTAAGTATTTTTCAATTGTAATTTTCAAAAATCATATCCTTATTGTGTGAAACTGTGTAGTTATTCGCGTTAAAAATGTTTAAAGGGAAATAATGAGGCAATTCCAATATAAAAAATTAGTTTAGATTTTTAGAACAAGTATAAATCAATGAAATTCAATTATGAGATGTTTAATCAATCATTAAAAAATATAAAATATAGAAATTGATGAAATAACACAAAGAATTATTAAAAAAAACGCACTGAGTTGTCTTTCAAAATCTTTAACTGCCAAAGGAGAGCGACGTGTATCCAAGCAAAAACCATTGAAGTCCTCATTTTTCTTCTCCAAAGTCCATATACGAACTTAAAAGAACACTATGTTTAAATTTGGACCTCTAAACAGACCTTAGGTTGCTTGGAAACAATATAAAGTGAACTATCGTGTGGTACGGGAAAAATACTTAATTTAGATATTTACAAATAGAGGCGGTTCTCATCACCTAAGATCCACAAAAGCAATATTTTTCAGCTAATACATACACTTATATATAGTTAGAACCCAAATCAAAAATAACTATCCAAATCCAACTACGCCTACTGTATTTTATTCATGAAATAATGCATTCAAAATATGATGTAGAATATCAAGATTCTAGCATGTAATAGTTCTATAGTGGTATACGGTGATATCCCCATACTTAGAGTGGCTAGGATGGTACTTAGTGTTAGCTTTATTGAATAAGAATCAATATTATACAATTCTAAATAAAATTCACACAGTACTCCCCAAATAGATGGGGTCTCCGTAATGTAGTTTTTGTTTATCAATACAAAATGACCAAAAACCCAGATTATTTTTGTTATAATCTATAGATTTATACCCCACTAAGATTTTTTTCTAGGTCCAAATCCATTGATTTCCTAATATATCATGTATCCAATACAAAATTACTTATTATTTTCGAAATTAAATCAAAGAAACGATAGATTTGATGTTAAGTCAAATATTAAAAAATTCTTATAGGTATATAGGATAATAAATCGGTTAAGAAATGTCCAAACTTAGACGTTCCACTACTAAAATATCTAAAAAATGTTATTCTAATACATAGGAGTAATAAAAATATTAAATTTTATAAAATAATGCAGCAATATTAAAAAAATGAACAAAAAACCTAAAAAAGCAAAATACTTTATTGACCTTAAAAATTAACAATACGTTCACATTTTATCAAAAATCTCGTTAATTAATATCACGATTTTACTTTTTATGGTAGAAAATTAAAATATAAGATATTCTTTAAAAAGTACAACAAACAAATTGCTTTATTTTGCTAAAAATAATTGTTCAGATAAAGTTTTTTCTTAAAATTTTACATAGGCAAATTACTTAATTGATTCATTGTATGTATAATGCACTAAAAGACGTTTTGTAGACCAGAAATACACAAATTTCAATTATTTTTTCCCACAATAAGCTCTAAATTATGGAATTGTTTGACCAATTTCAAAAAGATTGCTGAATTTCTTTGAACATATTGTACTTAGTTCATCTTACTATATAGATAGGGATCTTATTAAAAAATCTAAATTTAGGATAATGCCAGTCTTGCAGTAAATAAGCGATGCTACATTTTCCCATTTTTTTGTACAGTGTAAGAGGTAATATGTTTAATCAGAATAACGATATTATTAAATTAATTAAAGTTTAAATTAAACTAACTGTTAGTTCTTGACACTTGTCATATGTATATGTATATACATACATATGTACAATGTGTTTTGAATACGAGATTTTGTATAGAATTTTACTTCTATGAGTATTTCACAACATTTATCATTAAAAAACACTTAAATTTCGTAAAAATGTGTTGTCGTTTTTTAAGTGTTACATACAAATAATGATATTGGTAATAAGTAAATAATTTTCTATTTCTAGAAATATGATCTATTTTATCTTTGAACTATGTATGTCTGTAAAATTACTCTGTTTTTAGATATTTCATATACGATTCGATTAGATACTATAAATTGTATGATTCAATATATCGAGGGACTATATTCAATAGTCGCTATCTGTCATTTTCATGAAAATGAGATTTTGATGGCAAAATATTCAGCAAACTATCCCGCATCAGTGATATAAATTTCAAAGAAAAAAAAATATTTTTTGGCAATTTTATAGCTTTTTTTAAATTTCTCTATCTTAAAAAAAGAAAAATTCTGAATGCAAAACTCTCTATCTTATCCAAAAATTGCTTCAAACTCTATCCCTTTGGATGATTTTCTGTTGCAAAACAAGTCTTCTTAATAATTTGGACATGTTGAACACAAATCCGTCAAAATATTTAAAATCGGTCTAATAGTTTTTGAGATATCGCTCATTATGATACTAATTAAATAAATTTTATTGTCGTGTTTAACCATATAACTTTGATTTTGGACCAAAACATTATAATCTGTTGCTTTTTCAACAATTTGGTTTATTTTCCTCCATTAAATTGTATTAAATATAATATTTATTGATTTTAATTCAAATAAAAATTTTATAATTCCATGAAAAACTCTCTATCTGTTAGTTGAATGAATATTTTCGTAGAAAAATAAGCTCTATCTGATATAAATTTGTGAATAATTTTGCAAATAATGCAAAATTTAAAATTCTTTTTATATAAGGGTTTAGTATATGGTCGTAGAAATATATTGTAGAAGAAAAAATTTAAAAATCTTCACTAACTAGCGAAATAAACAGTTTTTTTGCTCTCCTGAAAACTTGTATTATTTTAGATAGGGACTATTGAATATAGTCCCTCGATATGTAGATATTTATTTTTTTTACATTTTTAATTTTTATGAAAAAAAGTTAATAAAACGTTTTCAAATAAATAAATGTGTTAAAATCATAATATAAAATTTGATAATATTATAAAATTTCCTTAAATTTTCTGTATAAACCCCATAATGAAATATAAATCTTTTATTTGTTATTACCTTCTCTTCTATATTTTATTCATTGTGAGTCATTAAGAGACCTAGTTTTATGTACATACATATGTATGTACATATTCCGAAATGTTACAATTTAATATGATTAATGCACACATTGCATTGTGCCTTTGTTTAAACGATGGAGAAAGATATAGATATTCGAAATAAAGGTAGAAAGACAGGTAGAATTTACGACTATTTCAAAAATGCAGGAAAAACAAATAAAAGTAAGAAAGTATAATCTGATAATCGACTACGAGAAAAAGTACATAAGTAGATGATTTGTGTTCTTTTCTATTTTAAAGATTTTTGGTTTGTCAGAATTCACTCACTTTATATAAAAATAACACAGTCCATTACATAGATTTTTAAATTATGTTCATTAATACCATTAGAATTTTGTATGGGTATTCCGAAAATGAGTATTAAAAATTTGTATAACCCGTCAATTATGTTCATTTTTCAGTCATAGTTATATAACCACTATTCTGATTCACAAATATTTAATTCTGTACCTTTAAGAAGTTATGAATATTAAACACTGTACCTCTAGACTGAAACTTTGGACTATCAAAATATATTCTGAATAAAATTAGAGTGAAAGGACTATGTTATTTATTCGTCTAAAAATTGATTAGCGCTAATTAAATTAAATAAATATTTAGTTTTAAATTTTAAAAAATTTAAATTAACCCACAATTAATGAATATAGTATAAGAGAAAATAGTTTGAAAAAGTTTTTACAATACATGGTTTTGTTGACCTGTGTAATCATTAGGGTGATCGACTTGGTTCTTCAACCGTTTTTAAAACCGGTTTTTACTGTGATAACAGTGTCGGTTTTTTCTAAATGTTTATTTTTCGAATATCGAATAACTCGGTTTTTTACTTTTTAAAACCCGGTTTCGAATACTTTTAATTGCTTTGTACTTAAATTAAATTTTGAAGCAAATAAAAATACAGCCCTTCAAAATTTTAAAAATATTGGAGTCCAGGAACCACAGTATATTTTTCTAACGCACTTTTGGTGAAACTTTTTTGATTTTCCTAATTAATTAACAATTTTTATTTGTAAAATTTATTAGAATAACAGTTTGATAAAATCTTAAGATTACATATATTACAGTTAAAATAATTAATTTGCGGCTAAAATATTATGGAAGTGTTGGAATGCCTATGAAAATTGTCTAAATATCCTAGAATTACATTATCCTTATGTTCCACTTTTTTCCATTTTTTTCATTAAAGAAATAATGTAAATCAGACGACTAGATCTAAAGTTAAAGTTTAAACTGTTAAAAATTAGTTAGGCCATGTATTATTAATCAAATTTAAACATAAACGTAAATTCTTTCACATTAAAATAGATTTTTTTTATTTATAATGAAAAACCGGGTTTTTCTGTGTTTAAAATATGTAACCGGTTTTTTTCAAATGTCAACTATTTAAACTATTCGAAAACCGGTTTTTGGAAAATGTCGAATAGTCGATCACCCTAGTAATCATTGATTGTTTGTATGCAAAAATAAAACTTTTCCAGCACGCTATTGCATAGTCGATTGACCTATTTAAGTATGATTCTTTTTTAACTTATTTTTTTTTTTCATATATCATCCATTTACTTCAGAGTGTCACATCTCGGAATTTTTATGCACAAAATATCTACTGTTTTAAAGTAATTTCATTTGTTTTCGAAAATATCTATTCCAAAACTAAAACTTATACAACCTGTTACAAAATTCCATTCCGATCGCATCACCACCATAGTGGGGAGGGTATTATGCGTTTGTGCTGAAGTATACCTTAAAGTATAACGATGAACTCAGAAACACTTTCTTGGTCGATTAAGACATTTCCATTATTTCACCTAGCACCCATACAACTTTCCGATTTGGGCTTATTAGCTCTTAATTAAATTATTTAGACTGAATTATTTAGAAATTCGCACAACTATGTTTATATAAACATAAATGACAAACTCCCATTTATAAAATGCCTTAAACTCCCTAATTAACGTAAATATATTTACGTTTAAAGGTTAATTTGAATTTTTTCGGTGTCAACATAAATACGGGTCTGCCTTATATATTTATCCTAATTTTCATTTAAATCGGTTGAAAACAAAATAATATTTAACTATGGTTTCAAGAGAATATATCAATATTGCATAGCTTGAGTTTGACCTTCACAGTTTATGGGTTAACATTATTCGATTTTACTAAAACTTCAGATATATTTGCCATATTATATTAAATTGTATTATCTGAAAAAGTTTTATATAAAATGTATAACAGTAAAGAATAAAACCTGTTTTCCAAAAATGTTAACAAAAAATAGTTTCTCTAGTTTTCTAGTTCAATTCACAGGTACCGCTAATATGTGAGAGATATCGACCTAATTTCTTTACTATTTTATTCCCTTCTTTATTGTCCATAAGTCACAGGGATATTTTCTCCCAATTTTAAAATTTATTTAACAAAATTGGTAAAAGTTTGAAATTGGAGTTTTGAAACTGCCGTCTGAAGGGTTTTCCATTTATGACTGTACCCTAAATACGGTTCACGCTATCTAATAAAGATAAAAGCTCACATTTAAGTTAATACGAATATATTTAATGTAATGACATGGTTTTATTAGAATATTAGCCACAATGTGTTATTTTTTTTAATATTTCTCAGATAAGTGTTTTTTGACACTAAAGTATCGGAGAATTTTGTAATAACTTTTACAATTTTTAACCGATTTTTGTGTTTTATATCTTATTGGGATGATAATCGAATATATATTTCAATAATATTCCGGTAACATTTTTGCAAAAACTACATTCTTCTTCAGAGCCGTTGCACCACTAGTTAACGTAGTACTATCACCCGAAATTTTTCCGGAATGTATTTTTATATCTTTAAGTTAAGTCCAGAGACAACCAATATTCGCAACACCTGAAAAATTACAAAATTTTATATCTGGGACTGAAGTGTACAGTCAAAAGGTCTAAAAGATGAAAATGTGGAAAATTGGTGGGTGATACTACTTTTTTATTTCCATATTCGGAATCAGCACACCAAATAACACTAGAATTAGTGAAAATTATTTAAAAAGTTTTTTCATCGTTGACCTTTGTAATCGGAATAAAGGTTAAGTTAAACATAACTATTTTTTATAAAATAAATATTTAAAACTTAAAAAAAAAATAAAAAAATAAAACTAATTCAATATTTTTACTTTTCATTCCGAAAAGTATTTTTTTGAATTTTTCTGAAGAAGAAAAATACTGAAAGAATTCCAGTATTGATCGGAACGGAACTCTGTGATAGACGTTATTGTTTTTTTAACATAAGATTTGTTTCCAAGTAAAAATATAAAAAGTGAATTTGATAACACATTTTGTTACTGAATGTATCAACCACAATTTGTATATTTTTTTGGGGAATTTTGTAGACAAATGTTTCATTTAACACTTATACCAAATAATGTATAGTGATGAACATTACTAAGAATTTATTGTTGTACATGTTATTTAACATGTGCACTAAATTATGCTACTGGGTATTACTAAGTTATTTATTAATTCATTCACCTTTTTTTCCTTTGTTGTCTCAACAGCTAGTTATAGTTTGAAAAACTGAATAAGGTATTTTTCGTAAAAAAAAACAAAAATAAACTTGAATTGTAATGAAATTTCAAATGCGACAAGTTCATTTACTAGACATATACGGTTAAAGATAAACAAAAATATTTAACTCTAAAAAGGTATTGGATTTTTGAGGTCATTTTTAATTTGATTGTAGCTAATTAAATAAGTTTAAGTTAGAACTGTTTATAGTATAAAATAATACATAATAGAAAACAAGTAGCAATTAGGGTTCTATAGTTGAAACGAAAAGTCGACTTTTTGACTTTTTTCATTTTGTTAAAAGTCGACTTTTCGACTTTTTGCATTTTATGAAAAGTCGACTTTTCGACTTTTTGCATTTTATGAAAAGTCGATTTTTCGACTTTTCGACTTTTTTCATTTAAATAAAAGTCGACTTTTAGACTTTTCGACTATAAGTATTTTATAAATAGTCGACTTTTCGACTTTTTCCGACTTTTTTCGACTTTTTTCGACTTTTCGACTTTTTTCGACTTTTCGATTTTTTCGACTTTTTGACTATTTTCGACTTCTTTCTACTTTTTTCCGACTATTTTTTGACTTTTTTCGAGTTTTTCCGACTATTTTAGAGTTTTTGACTTTTTTTTCCACTTTTTTAAAATTTTTTACTTGTTTCTACAATTTTCGATTTTTCGACTTTTTCCGACTTTTCCGACTTTTTTCGACTTTTTTTTTGACTTTTCGACTTTTTACGACTTTTTTCGACTTATCGACTTTTTTCGACTTTTCGACTTTTTTCGACTTTTATTCACAAAGTCGACTTTTCGACTTTTTTCACAGACGATAGTCGAGTTATCGACTTTTTTGGAACAAAATAGTCGACTTCGACTTTTCGACTTTTTTCGACAAAAAGTCGATTGTTCGATTATTCGAAAGTCGATTTATAGAACCCTAGTAGCAATGTATAGTCGTGAATGGCCGACCATATGATATACTACCGCAGAGAGTATGTGGATTACCTTTTCTAATAATAAAACATTTAATTTGTTTTCTACATTAATTCCGAAGTATTTATATAATTTGTTGACGAAAAAAGTGATTGTCTACAGATTTGGTAGAGGAATTTTAAGTCTACATTATAATTATTTATGCAGAATTTCATTGTGACCTTTAAGTCATTTTCTGAAGTGAAGTTTGTATGGGGGCTAAGGTCAAATGGAGCCTGATCTTTACGCTAATCGGCAGTACCATTAAGACTTTTATAGTTGATATTTTAGAACATTTAACATATTTATGATATAAATAAAGGTATCTTCGCGTTGTTATAGCGTTGCAAATATGACCAAAAACATTGTTTATTCCAAAATTTTGACACGATAATTGGAAAACCTGATGGATGTATTATCCTATCCACCCTATAGAAAAGAACACATGTTTCTGGTTTTTGACTTTCTAAAATTTTGTTTAACATTTGGTCTATATGTTTGCTTCTAAATTTTGGGTATACATAGTATGTACATTATGGTGGCCCCAAAATGGAAGTTGCTGATGTTCCATTTCTCAATTTTTTTCCTGACGTCAATATTTGATTAGCTGGATCAAACGATACATAATACATATATACGCAATTTCGGTAAAATGTCTTCGAAATTTCATAACATTCCTTTTCGTGAAAAAAACATTAAAAAGGGATATTTTATACTTTGATCCAGCTCGCCAAATATTGAGAAATATTATTTTATTATGTTTTATTTTCCGTGGAAACATCAGTAGCTTATGTTTTCTCTACACAAACGGCACCACCCTAATAAACATATATTTTTTATTATTTTTAAATATTACAAAAAGTTATCACCCTAATATACAAAAAATAATAACAATTACCTTTTTATTGTAAAGATCAGATGCTGAGATCAATAAAAAAATGATGGAAGTTGATATTATTGCTTTAATTTGTTTTGTTATATTTCTTTTCTTTATGCACTAGCCACTGTATTTTAATTATTTTTTATTTTTATTTTTTGTGACTTTATGTTATTGTTTGATCACTTAGTATTTCTTTTTTTATTGAATGTACTAATTTACTAGATTATTACGACGCATACACTGAAGTTCCAGTTCGAAACACGAGCATTCTATGACTGAGAATAAATATTTTTGCTGACATAATGTTCTCGTTGTTGTCGTCGTAGCTGCCGTCGCTATTGTCGACGTTTTAGAAAACTAAAAGACACCAAAATTTTATTTATTATTTTTTTTTTCTTTTTTTGTTTAATTGACTAAAAACAACAAAAACTAATGAAAAAGAATACACTAATGAATATTCACATGAAATTAAAAAGAATTGTTAGAGGAAAAAAAAATTTATAGAATGCATATAACTACTTTTACGTTATGGTCCTTATCATTAACAATTGTTTGTTATTAATATTTTACAGTTTTTTAAACATACCTACATAGATTGCAAATAATTGTATATTTTTTCAACAAGATACTTTAGAGACGATAACAAAAGTTAATGTTTATTTAAAAAAAAAAATACCATCCCAAATAAGATAAGATTTGAAAATTATTACTCACTCTACCACTCGACTTTAATTGACTCTATTTGCAACTTCTATTTATTTATTTAACATACTCGTAACGTACAACAACAACTACAACTGATTGTAAATTCAAACGTTAAAAAAAAACGAAAATGAAAGAAACTGTTGTTATTTACAATTTTGTAACAGATCAGAGAAAGTTTAAAAATTTTGTACTCGCACAGTAGTATGTTTGTATTTATTCTTTATACATATATTTTTCATTTATTTAATTTTAAAATTATTTTTAAATGTTGTAAAATTTCATAATAGACATTCACTCATGCATACACACAGTTTCACATATATGTACATAAATATTTACTTATATTTAAATATAATACAAAAAACAAGCTTTGTCTTACTTTAAAATTGACAAAAAAAACACTCTCTTTACTAAATCCAATATAAAAAATGTTTCAAATATTTTTCAAGTGGCCAAACTTAATTATATATTTTCATCTATTTAGTTTTGTTATTGTTGTTTGTTGGTATTTTGAGTATGGACAAATGTTGTTGTTTACTCGTGTGTGTTTTGATTGAGACTGAGGTTTTCGTTATAATAATTTATTGTTTTGTACTCACTCACTTATTCTCTTACTACGGCTCCACGCTTCAGTTAAGAAAAGAGAACTATAAAGAGGGGGGTCTTGTCTGATACCTTCTATTAACAAACAACTGGATCTTGTATATTATGAACAAAAACCCCAAACAAAAACAAGTACAAGTAACACAAAGAATACCTAAACAAAAACAAAACTAAACTTCTATGAACCTTTACAAAACGATAGATACCTACACTGCGATTTCAAAGTACATATAAATAAGTAATATCAACTAAAGTTTTAACTTATTCTTTGCCTTGTCAAGTTCCAATGTCACTCTCAATCGCTAATAAAAGATATTTAACTATGTATATATAGTTTTGAAAAAATCTTATAGAGAATATTTTATCTGGAGATATTTTTTTGCATTTTATACTGAGATAAAGTGCAATAGTTAAGCCCGAATACTAGAGGCCTATATACATTGATCCAATATGTACATACATATATGTATGTATATCAGGGAAAACAAAACATACAAATGTATGTGTTTTATGGTGTGTCCTATTGATTTATGAATTTAAGAATTTTGGCATCGATTTAAGAATTTTGGCATCGATAAGATCATATTTTTGCATAATTTGAAGTAAATACCATATTTAGGCCATATTTTTGAGATTTTTAGAACATTTTTTTTTCATTATTTTTACCATTTTTAAATATTTTTTCAAAATTTTTTATTTTCAAAATTCCTGTTTCACAATTTTGATGAAACATTTTCTATTTTTGTTCGAAACCAACCAGTTCTAAACTTCTAAAAATCATTTTAAATTCGGTCTTCTTGAACCCATCGGAGGAGTATCTAGTTTTCTCAAAGTAGAGTCCCTCGCCATTTGTTATAAAAAGTGCTAATTTTTTAATATTGAGAATTGGCATCTTAGAATGAACCAAGCTTTAATTTTCGGTGGGAACACACATATGTACATACATATTAGGGTTCTATAAATCGACTTTCGAATAATCGAACAATCGACTTTTTGTCGAAAAAAGTCGAAAAGTCGAAGTCGACTATTTTGTTCCAAAAAAGTCGATAATTCGACTATCGTCTATGAAAAAAGTCGACTTTGTAAATAAAAGTCGAAAAGTCAAAAAATCGGGAAGTCGAAAAAAGTTGAAAAGTCGAAAAAAGTCGATAAGTCGAAAAAAGTCGAAAAAAATCGAAAAGTCGGAAAAAGTCGAAAAGTCGAAAAGAGTCGAAAATTTTTAAAAAGTGGAAAAGAGGTCAAAAACTCTAAAATAGTCGGAAAAACTCGAAAAAAGTAAAAAATAGTCGAAATAAATCGAAAATAGTCAAAAAGTCGTAAAAAATCGAAAAGTCGGAAAAAATCGAAAAAAGTCGAAAAAAGTCGAAAAGTCGAAAAAAGTCGGAAAAAGTCGAAAAGTCGAAAAGTCGGAAAAAGTCGAAAAGTCGACCATTTATAAAATACTAAAAGTCGAAAAGTCGAAAAGTCTAAAAGTCGACTTTTAAATAAATGAAAAAGGTCGAAAAGTCGAAAAATCGACTTTTCATAAAATGGAAAAAGTCGAAAGGTCGAAAAGTCGACTTTTAACTACATACAAAAAGTCGAAAAGTCGAAAAGTCGACTTTTCGTTTCAACTATAGAACCCTAATACATATGTACCTTATTTTTTCCAAGCGGATCAAACCTAATATATATATATAATCTATCAAATTTCATTAAAAACATTTTATAAACAAACAGTTTATTTTAATTTAAAAAGGGTTCGCGAAAAACTCAACATATAAAAGGTCTAAATTGTATTACCAACTTATCAAATTAATTAAGAAAAAATTTGGGTTAAAAATGTTCGGTATTACATACTCAATGAACAGACCTAATAATGTTCACTATGGATACGTGTTTTTCATTTTTTTGCTAGAATAAATGTGTAAATAAAATAGAATACAAAACTTTTTTATATTTAGTTAACATAACACTTTTAAATAATTATTATTGTATTGTATGTTTAAATTTCACTATATGTATGTAGGTGTTTAACATTTTTTTAATTGAACATATATTTAATAGGTTTTGGTGCAAATTTTAATTTCACAATTTTTAATTATTTTTTATGTTTAATATACTTATTATACGTATTTCATAACCATAACAAATCAATATTATCAATACTTTTAACTGTAGGGTGTAATTGTTATGCAAAAACAACATCGTATTAACCACAACAACAACCTGCTCCAAACAAAGGAAAGTGCATTGTCCAGTTTTTTGTTTTTAAAAACATAACAAAAATTTCACACAAAGTTGAGAATGTAAACAAAGAGCTTTTACCAGTTTTATTATGTTGCGTTGTAAAAACTTATTTTTGGTCAATAAACCGAGAAAGATAAAATAAAAACAAAAATACAAAAATAGACGTTATGTTGTTTGTTGCCAAAACAACGGCGCAATCTTAACAGAGTTGTAAAAAGTTTCATGGCAAAAATAAATAGTTCCAATCAGGGTGTAGTGATTCGCGAATACAAGGTGACGTCTGGTTGGTAACTTGTTAAATATGCCATTGTTCCAACTAATTTAAACATTCGTCCCACGATGGGTTTAATAAACATACAAACATGTGTATTTGTTATGGGTTTGATTTATTTTGAAACAATATTTAATTAATTAATGATTAATGTTCCAAATTTAAAAACTTTGACAATTTACAAAAGTCTATCGTACTATATTTTGATTTTACGGTGTAATAAGCAATTAAATGAATGTATTTGTTTAAAAGTAAATAAATATTATTAATTACAAATATTTAATAATTTAATTTTTTTATATTTTTCAACTAATAGAATTTGTTGCTACTATTTTATTGCAACCATGTGAACAGTTTTAGCCTACACTGAACACACTTAAACAAATTGGATTATTTTTATTCTTTTTTTGTTACTTTTGTCTTGAGGCAGCTAGCTGAACTTTTATTAAATTTAAGATTAAGAAAAATATATTTTATTTTATTAATAAGATTAAGTGATTTGTTTAACATTTAAAAATTTGTAAAGCATTTATTATATTATGGAAGATATGCAAACCGATAGTAATTCTCAGTCAGAAATTATGCATGAAACAACACAAAGTGAAAAGCGAACTCAAGCGGGCGAAGAAAAAGCCGGCTATTGTTATTGGTAAACAAATATTAAAAACAAAACAGAATTAAGAAAAGAAAAATATCTACATATAACTAACATTTAAAAATGTATTAAAATCTCGATGTTTTTTCAGTGGCAAGGATCGTAATTTAAACATTGTGGAACTTCTGTGTGCCAGTTGTAATCGTTGGTTCCATGAATCCTGCATTGGTTATCAATTGGGTAAACTGGTGCCATTCATAACAAATTATGTATTTGTCTGCAAGAATTGTTCACCAAGTGGTTTGGAAAATTTTCGTCGTCAACAAGCCAGTATGTCAAATCTTAACAATTTAACTAATTTATTAACAAAAACTTATTTATTTATATTTTTTTTTTAAAGCCATTCCTCAAATGTGTATCACTGCCATTGCCAACATGAGACAAAATTCTTTGAAAGAGGGCAAACCGAAGAGTATTTTTAGTAAAGATAAAGAGATTATACCATTTATAGAACAATATTGGGAATCTATGACAACGATGCCGCGTAGAGTTACGCAATCGTGGTATACAACGGTACAACGTTCCTTATTGAAAGATGTCCAAATAACATTTACCTACGAAGAACATCCCGAAAATGGTGCTATGTTTGGTTTGTTATCTACCGATTTAACACATATAAAGCCTAGTTATGAGGCTATGGGAAAATTAGGGGCATTGCGGCTGGCCGAAGATGGTTATGCTCAAGGTGAGTGTTTTATAAAATTACACTGCAGTTTAGTAGATACATAGCTGGCCCCGTTTGTATAGAGAACAAATTAAGGTAGTGATGTTCCCACCGAAAATAAAAGCTAGTTTCTTTCAAAGTTAACATTTCTCAAGAATTTTCTCCTGGGGTATATTTGATGAGATGTGCAAAAAGATAAAAAAGTCATGCAAAGGAATGTAGGTATCATGTGAAAGTTTTTAGGATATGCTTTTAATTCTCTGAACTACCTTGTATTTTAATAAAGTTTTCAAGGATTGATAGCTTTTTAAGCATATAAGCGTTAAAATCTTTATACTTTTTACATATAAAACTGTAATCAGAAAGACTCAGAAATGGGATTTTTAGCAAGCCGGTATTCTACACAACCCATAGGAGGAAGTGCGTCAGAGGCCGTCTTTGTTTATCACCGAAACGGTTTTTCGTTTTTTGAGATTCAATCTAAAATAAATTTTATTTGATTTTTTTTCTAAACGAGTGTCCATCGCAAAATAATCAGATATCAGAAGAAAAATATTGAGCAATATTATGAATGAACTAAATTTTAATTTTCGGCGGGAGCATCAGCAACTTCCGTTTTTGGGCCACCCTGGGGTGTATAAAATGTTCTACGCTGCAGAAATTTTATAACTATTTTTTATGTTACTTACACTAAAGAGTGCAACTAATGTAATTTGTTTATTCTGATCCATTGGCACTCAAATGCCCATTGAACTCCTCAGTGTTGGAATACCAGAATAATCGGGATATTCGCTTCGAAATAAAGTTTTCAATAAACTTTTGTTGAAATATCTCTGTTATTTGGTAATGAGATTTAATACCAGAGTAGGAAAGTTGTCTTCTACCATGAATGAGTCTCCTACATGGCATGTAATAGCTCTACAATGCTAAGAATCATGGAGGGTAAGAAGATGTAAGAAGACTAATGAATACCCGTCATAATCCTTAGTAGTGCAGAACTACCGTAAGACATGGAGAAGCTTCATTCATAGTACAGCACGAGTTTTCCTTCTCAAATATTGAACCTACCTATTTACCAATTAGTAGATATAAATTTCCGATTTTTCTATAAAAGACTGATTAAAAACTTTATTTTGATGAAAATATGACGATTATTTAGGTTTTCCAACACCAAAATGAAGCCAGGTAATCGATTAAAAGCATAAAATTTTTGTATTCTTTAATGGCCAAATCGATCTCCTGACCTAAACTCCATTTGAGTACCATTGGATCATTATAGATCAGTTTTCTTAGGAAGACACTGGGACTAAAAGGTACAATATCCTTGATAGCATATAGGACGTAAGGAATAGCGTCTCAAATTATCAAATAAAGCTAGTTAACCTTAACAACCTAGTTAACAAATTATATTACCCAAACCAAAAAAACAGTTATAAAATTTCTTCACCATTCCACAAAATATTATATCAGTTGCTTAAGTTTTGGCCACCAGTGTATATAGCTCATTTATTAAGAGAGTAGAAGACGCTCTTCATATTATTATCACCAAAAATCATTGGCATTGAATTTGTTTATATTTTTTTTTTGTTTGGTTTTTATTGTAATTTGTTTTTCCAATCAAAAATCGAGATATATTCTCGTGTTTGCATAATTTATTAAAAGCAAAAATACTGCATAAAAACTTAGCATAATAGGAGTATGTAGTTGTTTTTTTTTTTTCTTAAACATATACACTCACTCACACATCCATATATACTTGAATGAATGGAATGTTTGTTCTCTAAATGGAGATGATAAATCATATTTTTTTTTTATTATGGTACACAATTTTATTTAAAAGTACCTTTTAAGTGTTTGCTAAAATTGAAATTCTTAAATTAAAAACACAAACAACCACACACGTATGTTAAAATTTTTGAAATTAGATAAAATTTAGTAAAAGTAATTAAGCAAGTAAAAGTAATTTGCACTAAAAATCAAATATGTATGTATATAACACTTAAATTTTTGGCCCCTTTTCTGGGGTATTTCTAAAAACAAGTTACCATCACTGCGTATGACTTATTTTTTTGTTTTTGTTCGTCGTTTCTTTATTATTGTGTTTTGAATTGTTTTGATTTTGATTCTCTATAACAATAATATTGTTGCTGCCGCTGACGTTAATGTTGTTGCTGTGTTAGTTGTCGCCGTTAAATTATTGTTTCTTGATAGTGTATTAATTATTTCGCTGGCAGAATTTTTATAGTTAATTTTATTTTTTTTTCTACAAATTGGCAATTGTTTTATTATTTAGCCATTTATGGTACAAATACAAAAAAATAAATAATCAACGTGAGAGAGAGATTTAGCTTCGAAACTTGTAGTGAAACAATTTATGCAGCAAATTTGTTTTTTATTACTGATTTATCAGTAATTGTAGTGCATAAAAACGGAGGAGTAGAGTGTAGAGAGTGGACAAGTTGGACAAGGTGTTTCAATGTGAAACATGCAGTCAATTGCCGTAAAGTTATCTTGAAAGGAAAATTTTAATAAGGAATAAACAAACATTTTAATTATTCTTTACAATTTAAGTGTGATTAATGTGTCTTTAGACTATATTCAGTCTATTATTTGATTTTTATTGTTAAAAATTGTACCTGACCCAAAAGAGAAACAAACTAAAATCAAAGAAACTATACAAAAAATAGCAATGGAAAGTGTGGTTACGCGTGAAGAAGAACGTACGTAATATTATTCATAAATATTATTTGTATAGGAATGTTTGTTGTTAATTTAACAAGTTAATTAAAGTAGGGGTTGGTGGAGAGGGTGTGTTATTTGCTTGTGCATTACAATGGTGACACGTACACATTTATACTGCGCCATAGACCATTTAGAACTTTAGTCGCCAAAAATATGTAGTACCTATTTTGTTTTTTTTAATTTTAGCTTCTTTATCAAAAAACAATAGACAAAATAAGCGTAAATTTCCGGGAACAGATTCGGGCCCAACCGGTAAAAAGGGTAGACCTAGTTCGGATATAACCGCTAATGTTAAATTACCGGCTCATGGCTATCCTTTGGAACATCCTTTTAACAAAGATGGTTATCGCTACATATTAGCTGAACCAGATCCACATGCTCCCTTTCGCCAGGAATTTGATGAATCTTCTGATTGGGCTGGTAAACCCATACCTGGATGGTTATATAGAACCCTAGTGCCTAATAGTGTCCTTTTGGCCTTGCACGATCGTGCACCACAATTGAAAATCTCCGAAGATCGTTTGGCAGTAACAGGGGAAAAGGGTTATTGCATGGTTAGAGCCACTCACTGTAAGTTATAAACAATTTTTATTGATAATTATTTTAAATTTCGCCCTCCTTAGCTGTTAATCGTGGTCGTTGGTATTTTGAGGTTACCATAGAGGAAATGCCTGAAGGTTCTGCAACGCGCTTAGGTTGGGGTCAGGAGTATGGCAATCTGCAGGCTCCTTTGGGATACGATAAATTTGGTTATTCTTGGCGTTCTCGTAAGGGTACACGTTTCAGTGAAAGTCATGGTAAACATTATAGCGAAGCCTATGTAGAGGGTGATACTCTAGGCTTTTTAATTGATCTACCCCAAGAAAGAGAAGTTGATTATCTGCCAAATACATTCAAAGATAGGGTAAGTATTCGATAAATGGAAATGTATAGGTATAATGTGAATTTTGGTAAAATACTACGATTTTCATAAATTTTTTATATAAAATCTTAAAATTTTATAAATTTTAAATAATATTGAATTTTCGTAAACATCTTGAATTTTTACAAAAATTCAAAAATTTAGATTTTGTGAAATCTTAAAATTTTGAACTTTATGAAATTCCTTAAATTTAAATTTTTATTTTTTTTTTATTTTAATGAAAATCCTAAATATCAGATTTTATTTTCGATAAGACATTTTTCGTTTTTGGTGAAAATTATTTTTTTAAATCTTGAAATTTTGTGTTGAGAATTTCAAATATTTACAAAGTTTTTCAAAAACAAAAAATTCTGAAATTTTTTAAAAATTTTAATATTTTTTTGAAAAATTATATGTTTTGGTAGAAATCCTGAAAATTTTCAATATTGTTAGTAATTGAAAATTTTGTGATTATCAATTTATAATTTATTCTTAAAATTAAATATATTTTTCCTTACAGCCACTTGTTAAATTCAAATCACATCTCTATTATGAGGACAAGGATAAAATCCAAGAGACATTAAAAAATTTACGCATAGCACCGGGTAGTAAAATAGAATTTTTTAAAAATGGACAATCTCAGGGTGTAGCATTCAGTGATATTTATGCAGGATCATATTATCCAACTATATCAATACATAAAAGTGCTACAGTGAGTGTGAATTTCGGACCAACTTTTAAATATCCAGAAATCATAACAAACTATAAAGCAAAGGGGGTAAGAAGTGTCAAATCAAATAATTCGAAAAATTTCCCTCTTAACTAAAATTTTTAAACTTTCAGATGTACGACCGAGTAGAAGAGTTGATATGTGAACAATCATTATCGGATTTATTGTACTTAACCGAAAATGAAGGAAGATTACGTTTGGATAATTTTAGCATATAAACATGAAATTTTACAAGTTATTAGTATTTAATAAACAAAGTTTTTTAAATATGTTCTAACATTTAAAGAAACGTATTTTTCTTTTCATTTACATATAAAAATAATTGTTTATTATTATCTTTGTTACAATATTAGAAAATTTTCTTATTTGAATGCGTGAAATTTCGAGGCACTATACGGTAAATATAAAGCATTAAATGTAGTAACTCTTGGATATTGTACTGCAGCCGATATTGATCTTCCAGATGTCGTTGTATTCGAACTATTGGTTTGTGTTGAGGCATTCGTCGTAAAACCACCTAAGACTAGGTGGTGTTTGGTCGATAAGTTGTGTGTAAAGCTATTATTATTATTCGTTCGTAATAAGTTTGACTTTGGTCCGCTAGATGAGGGCGTTGTATTTGAGGTGCCTAACTCACTGGTTGTTGATGTAGTTGTAGGCTGTGTGCTGTATTGCTGAATAACTTGTTGTCTACTTGATATGGATGGCAAAATAATTGAATTACGATTGTTAAAGAAACGGTTGGCTGCCAAGGGAACATGCCAAGCTGACCGGTGTCCTGTATGAAAACGGGAACGCGTTTTTTGTTCTTGTGCTACAGCTGCCGACTTGGCTTGTTGGATTTGTGTCAATTGTACAAAACTGGGATTTTGCTTTTGGCCCAAACTTCGAAATTTCCTTCTAGAGTCTAATACATTTAATATGGGAGGCATGCGAAAACGGTTGGTGTTAGTAGTGGCTAAAGGAACTTGTTGTAGGGGCGTTGGCGGAGAACGCATCGAATAAGAGGAGGTTGAGCTGGCACATTTTCTTTTATTGATTAGCGCTCTACTGGTTTCACGTTGACTTAATTTTAAAGGCACCGATTTAAGAGTAAAATTGTCCATTAGTTGACACAAGTTGTTATCCTCTTCCGACGACTTCTGTATGGGTGGTGTGGGAGTTATTGATACCTCCGCCATGCGATCTCTGGTTAAAGTTAATTTATCTTCAGTTTCTTCATCTTCTTCCTCAGATGTTAAATCAATACTAGGCAAGGATTCTATATCTAAAGAGTCTGTACTTAAATTTTTCATTTTATATTTGCTTTTATTTAGTAGTTGTGGAAATTTATTTTGCCAGTCCAAAATTTCCTTTCTCAAATCATCCTCTGCTGCTGTTAACGCCTCCAAACCACTCAACATTTTTTCAACTTTTTCCCATTCCATTTTGTTAATTTTGATTGCATCGTCAGCCCAGGGAATGGAACCAATAGAACTTCTATCTACACTACTGGAAGTATAAGGTACTTCCTGTAAATATCCTTGATTATCAAAATCTTCATCGTCCTCCTCATTTTCAAATAAATCGTCGTCTTCAAAACTGTTTGACTCCAATACTTTTGGTTTTAAATAAAACCCTAGACTAGAAGTCATGATACTTTTTAATTAATAACTTATTCCTTTTTTGTGGGCAGAACAACAGTGTAAGTCGAGCTTAATACATTGATTAATTACGTTTTTTTTTGTTTAAAAATAAAGAATTACACAAAAAATTATTTTTACACAATTTTTGTCTGACAGCAGCTGTTTTGTAAAATAATTGCCATCCTGGCAAAAAAAAACATAAATTCTCTCGAAGCTGCGCAGAAATACCTGTGTTTGTGTGTCGTGCACAGCACAGGGTATACAGAGGTGTCACGAGCAAAAGACTATTTCCCTCTCTTTCGCACAAAACGAATTCAATAATTTTTTTTAGCTGTATTTTATATACCACTTCTCACCAAACAATTTCAAAATCAAAAAAAAGCTGATTTTAGACTTTTTTAAATGTCAAAAGTGACAACTCTGTATACTTTGTGGTGCACAGCCAAATCTGGTGGTATCGCAGTAAAAGCAATTTAAGTGAGGTGACTGCGAGTGATAAATTGCGAAAATATTTCTATGTGGTTTCAATAAATGTCAAATTTTTTTCATATGTGATTTGACATTCTGGAAACATAAAAACATCCCTATGCTACTACCTAAACTAGGTGCAGGCACTCTCTCTTCTTAATATCCTGGCATAGTTGCTTCGAAAAGTATTTTAAATTTTTAGAAAAAAGTACTAAAATAAGCAAACGTGTAAAATCTGGCGCACAACTGACAGCTGTCAAGTAATGTAAAATAGAAGAATTTTCTGTGTGCAGCAGAGGTGTTTAATTTTTATTGCTCACGCAGATAAGTTTATTAATTTTTGTACAGCTTTTAAAAGAAATATTAAGGAATATATGTTTTAAAAAGAATATATTATTTTAATGTTACACAAGTTTGTATGTAATTAATATTTCAACATGTGGCATGAAGCCCGCAAACAAGAACGCCGCATACGCGGTCTCATTGTTGACTACAGACGCCGGGCCGAACGCAGACAAGATTTTTATGAAAAAATTGCAAGTATTTTTTAAAATTATAAATAAAATTGTAATTAATTGTTTATTTTTCCAACTTCAGCAAGCTGACCCCACACAATTCATACAAATTCATGGCAGACGTTGCAAAATACATTTGGATCCGGCCGTAGCGGCGGCCGGAGATGGAGCTGCAATCATGCAAGTGATATTGAATTTATTACTATTACATTATGTATTTTTTTTTATAGTGATATAAACCTAAAAAGGGTAGAAATGTAAACGTTTATTGTAGCAATTTCGTCCAGATTCCGGTTTTACAAACGAGCTTCATTTTATGAATTTGCAAAAAGATAAAAATGTGGGAACTAAAATAAGTTGCACAAATCTAAATAACGCTTTATATTACAATTGCATTCATCTTGCAACAACTTTTGTTTCCATTGTTTACAAATAAATTCTTTTATCTTTGGACATTTTGTTTGTTAAAACCAGTTCCCTAAACATGTTTAACTGCATAACTTCTGAAGTATATACATAAGTTTAAATAGCTAATTATTATACACAGGGGTTTCTTTTAACGTTTCTATTTCTATTTTCTTTGTATTTCAAAAAACTAGTGTTCCTTGGCAAGGCCAACATGACAACCTAATAGATCGTTTCGATGTACGTGCCCATTTAGATTATATACCTGCCATACCGAAAAGTTCGGATAATGATGTCGACGTATCTCAGGAAGAACGACAATGTAACTATGAACGTTATAGAATATTAGCTCAAAATGATTTCTTAAATGTGTCCGAAGAGAAATTTTTACATCAATTATATTTGGAAGAACAATTTGGCGCCAATGCACCATTGGAGGGTCAAAGTAACCAAGGTAAAAAGAAATCGCAGAAATCGGGCGCCGCCATAGGCTACTCTTATGATGATTCAACGGAAATTCCTCAGGATACCCAACAGCCTTTTGCTCATTTAAAGCATTCTACGTCTGTAGGAGTCGCAGGAGGAACTTCAATTGGTGCTGTATCTGCTGGCTCCACGAAGAAGACTGAAAATGATTCAGAATCAGAGTCGGACTCTGATATGGACATGGATGTTTCCATAGAAGTGTCGAAATTGGATACAAATCAGGCACATGAATTAAATGCCTGTGGTCGTAATTATGGCATGCTGAGTAATGATTTCTATTCCTATTTGACCAAAGATGCTGATGAAGCGGATGCATTGCGTTTGGCTAGAGTGGAGGAACGAGAAAAGATCCTATTAGGTGGCCGAAAGTCAAGAAGGGAAAGGCGAGCTCAAAAGGAGAGGCGTATTGCAAGGCGCCCTTTTAGTCCGCCAAGTTACGCGGCTAAAGAAGATGATATTGGAAAGGATGAAGAAAGCGATTCGAGGTCGCCTTCTCCTTCTGACACCACCGAGAAAATCACATACATCACATCATTTGGTGGTGAAGATGAATTGCAACCTCATTCTAAAATAACCATAACATTGGGTAAAGGATCGTCTACGTTGGGGGCAGCCTGTGTGGGTGCAAGTACTTCGGCTGCATTAGGACAAACAACCTACGCTCAAAAGGTAAAGGAGAATCTTGAGAAACTTAAACAATTAAATGCTACCTCGAAGAGAAGAAACACACGCAGCCGTAGCTACTCTCGTAGTAGATCGCTAAGTCGAACTCGTAAGCGTTCACGTAGATCGCCACGTGCATCGAGATCTAGAAGTACATCATACAAAAGGCATCGGAAAGTTGACAAAAGGTCTGTTTCTCGCTCAAGATCTAGATCACGATCAGTTAATAAATCACGCAGTTCCTACTCGAGAAGACATAGGGAAGGTTATAAGCGCTCCAGAACTAGATCACATTCTAGATCTCGTTCTAAATCTAGATCAAGACGTAGGCGCTATAACTCCTCATCATCTTCATCAACGTCAATAGCCAGAAGTTCCGTATCACCATTGCGCACAAATTACAAGTCAATCAGAAGATCTAAACGCAGTCCTAAGAAAATTTCGTTTACAAGGCGCAGATCACGTAGTACTTCAAACAGCAGGCGCAGCAGAACAAAAGATACAAAAGAAAAATCCAAATCTCCTCGTAAAGCCTTGGAAGCTACTCTTACTAAACAAACAGAAATTATAGTTTCCCCACTAACTACGCCATTGAAACCGGCCCTAACAAATCCTACACAACCTACTGTACCTTTACCTATCGAAGCAGCCGCCAGCAAACAATCATTGCCCATTGTAAATGTAATCGAACCTCCTCCTCCACCACTAAAGCGCTATTATGGTCGTAAAAAAGAGGAATATTCGTCTTCTGAAAGTAATTCAGACTCTGAAAATGAAGATGACGATGAAAATTCATCACAAGCCCCAAAAACTAAAGAAACTTTAGATACTCAAGAACTTATGGATATGGACACTACGTAAGTGTAAAGTTGACCCTCTGTGTTTTTTCTTTTTATTTTATTCAAGTTAAAAGCAAATTAAACTGTAAATATTATTTTAATTTTAGCTCTGAAAAGTCAAATCCTTTACCTTCAACTTCAACCTCATCATATAAGGGAAAACAACATCAGCAAACGCCGCAGCAAACAGGCAAATATGGCTCCAACACGTCCAATAGTAATGCTCCCGAAACCAAAGTCAGTAAGAACCAACAAATAAATTCAAGCCTCACACACCAATATATCTATGTATATGGGGACCACAACCTGTCTAGAGAAATTAACGAATCAAAATCCACAAAAACTACTCTTACCATATATTATGACCTTGACGTAAATAACTTACAAGACCGTTTAGGATTTCATTTAGAATATCATACGTTTTTTAGAGACATATTTTACCGGACCAAAGGCACTCTTAATCACGATAGAACATGTTTGTTAATTATTTAAAGTGACTTCTTACAGGGTTCTTCTGGAAGTGGAGGTTGTGTTGGTGGCAGTAGCAGCAGTGGACGTTTAAATTTACGGGAACGACTAAAAAGGAAAATGCAGAATTTGCTTAATAAGCAATGTAAGCGAGTGTACAGTGTGGCACCAATTAAGCCTTTATTTTTTTTCAACATTCCAAAGATATTGATGTACTTTTTTCTTCTTTTTAATATTCAAAATTACAGATAAAGCCGACAAAAAAGCTGAGATTGAGAAAACCGAGAGGGAAAGACAATTACAACAGGAAAGAGAGGAGGAAATGCGTGAATTATCTATAAAATTACGCAGAAGGTCTGTTGCTTTTTCTTATTAAGATGAAAGCAAAATAATGACAATATTTTTGTAAAAATTTCAGACAAAGAGAGTTACGTCATCGTTATGGGTCGCAAAATAGTAAAGAATCAGATAGTGATAATTCGGATACAGCTGAAGCTACCAAATCTAAACGTAGCAAATCACGTAGCAGCGAGCGTTCTAGTGTTAAAGCCACTAGACGTCGTAGTCGTGAACATAAGCGCAAATCACCTTTAACATTAAAACGTTCATCAAGTCGTGAGCGTAGACGGTCGCCAAGTCGTTCTAGTAGACATCCGAGATCACGCTCTCAATCTCGTAGCAGACGTAGCAACTCTAGGCGTCGAAGACGTAGTGTATCGCGTCCAAGACGTCATCGGGAGCCAAGCTATGAGAGATCTACACGTTATAATACTGAACGTTCACGTTATGATGATCGCCGTAGACGATCAACATCTAGAAACGAACGTGATCGAGATAGAGATCGAGAACGGGATCGAGATAGAGACAGGGATCGCAATCGCAATAGAGATAGGGATCGTGATAGTGATAGACAAAGGTATTGGGGTAGTAGCGGCACCTCTGATCGCTATCGCTCCGACAGAGGTGGTGATGGACGAGAGCGTTCGGATAGAGATAGACATCACCGGGATCATCGTGCTGGTGAAGGTTCTCAACAACCTGCTACTACAAGTGGTACTACCTCTTCAACGTCTGCTAGTACGACAAGTCGTAGTCGTGTTGTTATTTCAGCTCCACCGAAATTGAAAAAATTGGTGGATTATTAGTGTCTAATTTCGTAAGGATTGCATTAAGTAATTCTAATTATGATTTTTCCCCTTTTCTTAAATTTTCATTTATTTTTCATTTTTCTTTAAGTTTAAAGATTTTCTTATGAAAATTAAAAATAAAGATACATATGGTATGTACTTGTTAAATTTTAAAAATCAGCGTTAACTTAAAAACAAAATTTTGAAAATAAAACGTTTTTTAAAATATTAAGAAAAGACTTGTTTGTTACACTGTAGGAACATTTATTTCCATCATGGTTTGTTATTAGATATAATTGAAGCCAGAAAAAAACCGGACCTGTTATATATTCTTTGTCTTGTTGATTGGTAATTTTTAAAAACATTTAACGTCTTTTTTGTTAAGCTAAATGAAGTTTTAACGATGTTTTACTGTAGATTAATAAACATATGTTTTAATGGTTGCAGTAAAAAAGTACTAGTACTTTTTATTCACAAATTTGTACAACTCTATGACTGTCATAATCAACAACAACAAATAAATAACACAAAAATGATAAATATTAGCCGTTTATTAATGAAAAGACGTAAGTTTCGATAAATTATTAATAAGAAAAATATATAAAACTTTATTTTGTAGCCTTTGTACAATTACAAAATAAAATGAGTACTATTGGTGAACATAAAGGACCTGTAGCGGAAGCCATTTCCATGGCCATAACAGAAAACTTACAACCGGTGCACTTGGAAGTGATAAATGAATCCTACATGCATAATGTGCCTAAAGGAGCTGAAACACATTTTAAAGTTTTAATAGTTTCGGAAAAGTTTGAAGATCTACCATTGATAAAGGTAAATGAAAGTAACGATTTACATACATACATTAGGGTGGCCCCTATGCATGGAAAAATTATTTAATTTAAAACTTAATAAATTGTTTAAAAATATTCTATCATTTTTGGTTTTCAGAGACATCGTTTGGTTAATCAAGTGGTTAAGGAAAAGTTAGACGATCTTTTTCCACATGCCTTATCTATAGAAGCCAAAACACCCAAACAATGGCAGCCTTCATATACCGTAGAACCCAGTCCCAACTGCAGAGGAGGTTTTGGCAAATAGATAAAAGAAAATGCTGTTTCCAATTTTCCCATATGTTTTGTTAATTCTATTAATTAAATCTTACATAAAATAAATGTAACGTTAACAAATTATTCTAAATATACAAAACTCGCTTTAAAAATGATCTCTTTTAGACTAAAGGCAGTTCCTCTACACTTTTTCTGGCAGAAAGTATAACATCATTTATACCAACACCATCGTATGCTGATCCACATAATGACAAAGGCAATTTATAGCGTTGTATATAACGTCTTATATCCTCCACCCTTTGCTTGTGTCCCACATTGTATTGTGGAATACATTTTTTCAAAATGTGAACCCTAGTTGTTTTCGGCTCCTGATGTATACCCATTATACGTTGCAGCTCATTTAAGGCTATGTCTAAAAGTTCCTTTTGTGTAGGATTTCGGCCAAAGTATTGCTCAAACCATTTACCACCCATCATGACCGTAAGCACGGTATTGTCTTGCATATCAAAACAGCAACTATCGAATATTACACCCAAAATAGGTCTTCTTTCTACGGGAGGAACTAAGAAACCAAAGGCAGGCTGTTTTAACAAGTCCTTATTGTTGTACTGTAAATTGATTACAGCTACATCCACATAGGGTATGGCTAAAAGTTGGCCTGCCAAACCAGGATGTTGATTTTTAAGGCAAGCAGCTAGTTTATAACTAGGTATGGAACTAATAACATGTTCCGTCTCTATCTCTTGGTCCTTAATATTTAAGCGAGCCCCGTTTGTAGAGAAAACCATGTCTTTGCATTCTGAGCTTAAATTTACCTCCACATTATGAGCCTTTAAATAATCATTTATGCGTTTGGGTAAATTTTCTAAACCATCTTTTACACTGTACATGCTCCATTTTTCTTTCTTAGCTTCGGTAAATAAATTCGGTTCCTTTTCGCTAAATAAGTCCAAAGCTTTACTGTCTTTTTTATTGTTATACATGCTACTCATAAGCATACCTTTAACTACGCCACCATATTTTTGTTCCGTTTCAAATAGATCATTCATTAAAAAACGTACACTTATCTCTTTGGCATCGCCGGCACATATACCACAAATCATGGGGCTTATAGCATAGTCGGCAATCTCCGCACCAAATCTTCTATGTACAAAATCGTATATGGACTCATCACCGTATTTAATTCTTTTGGCGCCAGATTTTAAATCATTCCATATTGCCATCATCAAGGGTTGTGTAAAAGGTGGAATGGTTTTTAAGGCACCACCCAAACTATTTGGCAGCATACATAATTGTCCCTTAGCATAGATCATACGATTTTTAGCAGCTGCATGTGTAGACTTTATACCCTCTATAGGTACTTGTAAATCCTCTATCAACTCTAAAGTATTAGCTCCTTGCATACCCTTAGGACGGATTGTTCTTGGTCCTGCTTCAAATATGAAACCTTTTTCTTTATGTTTTTCTGTACGTATCCAGCCACCTATACGATTGGAAGCTTCAAAAATAGCCGTAGGTTGTCCAAATTTTTTCAACAAATAATAACCGGCCGAAAGGCCACTAATACCTCCACCCAAAACAATGGGCATAGTTACATATATTTGAATATATTTTATAAATTTATAAAATATTTTTAAAACAAAACCTTAATAATACGAGAAAAATTAATTAAACAAATTGAACACTAAACTTCAAAGAATGACAACACATAGTTTGTTGTTATCAGTTTGACATTTGTTTGTTTGTTTACATTTTTCAACTGTGAACAGTCATAGAAAATTGTTCGTTGAAATATATAAATATTTGAAAGCTTTCATGCTGTAGTGTATAATTTTAAAGCATACTTTAAGGCATTTTTAAAAGTCGTTAACTTAGTGGTTTTAATAAAGTGTTTCAAAACAAGTAAAAAGTCTATAATAGCCTTTGGTGAAACTTATATACTCTTCACCATAGTGTGTTTAAAAAAAGATTAATTTCAATTTATTTCATTTTTTACCGACTCTATACGCAAAGCAATAAAACCAATACAAATTCAAACATACGTTATTTTCCAATAAGCAATGTTATTGTTGCTTTTGTGTCAAATCATGCAAAAAGTTGTCTTTTTTGAGGAAATTTTCAGAGATTGTCTTGGATTTTTGCTGATATCTCCGTTATTTATGGACGGATTTGGCTGATTTTAAATAGAAAACTTTTCGAAAGTATGTCTATTGTGGAAATTACAAACGGAATGACTAATTTTTATAGATGAAGGGTATAATTAGAATTCAATTTTTTAAATGACTTCATACAAATTGCAAAATTTCCCTTTTTACAGTCGAAATAGTATAAGTACATAATTCATAAATTAAACAGAAATAATATGCTTGCCCTTTCATGTCCTTTCATGTTATAAATCTTTGTAATATTTTCCTTTATTTACAATGAAATACATCTAACTAATCAATTTACTTAACATCACACATAACTAAGCCAAATAGAACTAAAAGCTGTTTCAAAGATATTTTTTTTTAAATCGAAAAAATAAATGCAGAAATCTTTGTAACAACATTGTTAAAAAAAATAAATGCTAATTGAAAACATGACAGCATGCCAACATTTCTTCATAAACTTTTGCTTCTTTCTGCCGCTCAGCAGGACACATGACATAGAGGCGAGAAGTAGGATGTTGTGGAAATGTTGTTGTTCCTGTTTCAATTGTATGGGCAACCTCCCCCTCGCAATTTGAATGTTGTGTCTGTCAGTCTACACATACAAACATGCATATACACTCTTGTATAGTTAAAATCATAATAAACAAGCAAATAGTATGTATGTATATGAACTAGTAAATGTTAGATAAAAAAATTTTAGATAAAAACCGGAAATAAAATCTATAAAATAAAGGAAACAAATGTATGTATTTGTGTATAAGCGTTTATTTAAATATTCGTTGTGTTCGTATTGTTGTTGGTTAAATAACGTAACAATAACAAAGCGGAAAAATATCATAACAAATGAAAACAAACAAACACTTATACTCTAATACTTTCTCTCTTTCTCACGGTTTTATTTGCTTTTATGAAATGAAAATATACAGAGACAAAGTAAAATCAAAATATTAAACATGTAAATTACACGCACACTCTCTTAATCATTAATATCATCTAAAAGAATGGCAACAAAAAGGAATAATAAAATTAATAAAAATAGAGTTGTGTATTGTTATTTAGGAATAATTTCTCCTAAATTTAACAATAATAAAGGCCACAATTATTGCTAAAGTATAATTTAAAAGAATGTAGAGAAGTTTTTTATTACAGTCGTATGATATTTATTTTTGAGTTGAAATTAATATTCATCATACGCCTGTTGGTTCATCAGTTGTAAAGATAACCTAACAAACGTTTTATTTTGTTAATTATTCGGTTTCTCGTAAACCATTGGAGGTATCGTAACGAAATTTCACACAGTTTCAGTTGAGATATTTATGAGTTGATTTATATTAGCTTGTCTTCGTAACTGGAATTGAGGATTTTGTGTGGTCCGCCCAAAGTTGACACTCTCTGATGTATTTTTTAAATTCATTAAAAATTCATTTATGATTAGAATTAAGAAAAAAATAATATATAGAGTCCTTATGTTTTTAATGATACCAAATGCTTCTATAAAAATTTCATATTTACTCTTCAGGAAATCTTGAAACTTTGTTTTCTTTTGAAATTCTTCATAATTTGTAAGAAAAATCCATTTCTTAAATTATTAAAGAACGTTTTACTTTTAAGGATTCTTTATAAATATAAATTTCTTTGTTTAGTCTTATTCTATTTCCCAGTATCTTAAGCTAATCCCGTTTTTCCCACGCTTTAAAACCTATGGCAATAGCACTCTAAAACCCAAAAAGGAAGGATGAAATTAAACCAAAAAATAATAGAATCAAAAAATTATAACCAAGCTGAAAATAACAAGAAATAAGCACAACAACAAATAACTTATTGATTCGGAAAATTCCTATAGAAACAAAATGTCAAAGAACGAACATTAATAGAGCTTTTTTCGTGTTTTATCTTGACACAAAGTAAAACACACAGCAAACACAGAACCTGGCCAAGAGATAGAGACATGCACACAGAGAAAGAGAGAGTGTGAAAACGAGAGAAAGCCAAGCACATAAGCAGGCTTTAGTTATAGAAGAAAAATAAACCCCTAAAAATATGTGACATGAATAAACTGTGTCAGAAATGTTTTAACTGCTGTCGTGAAAGGTTCGTGAAATAAAAATAACGGTCGCGTGTTGAAGTGTCGTTTTGTGTAAATCTAGAATATTGTATAAAATACATATACATACAAAATAATGTGTGAAAATTTTTGAAATCTAGAAGGAAAAAATGGAAATTAAATAATTTTTTAACAAATTTTGAAGCAAAATTAATAAAGAATTTAAAAGTTTTTTAATGCGAAAAGTAAATATCTACAAAAACACCAAAAAATTTTGGCAAAAAAATGCTTTGAAAAAGAATTTTCATAAAAATATATATGTATAAGGACTTATACATACATATACATAACTTGTGTGTATATAGGAATTTGAAAATTATTTTAATTTAATTTTTTGCCCAAAAAAGTGCTTTAAACAAAAAATAACTAAAATTTTGAAAATTTATAAAAGATATAAAAAAAGTCAATTATATAAAATTAAAAAAAATCAAACTTAATCGGGTCTTAGGTTTCTATACTTTAAAATATCTATAGATATTTCTATATATGTATATGGAAACGGGAAAACGATTATACATACACACACATACTCTCAGCGAGTGTACAGGCAGGCAGTCAGAGCCAAACACCAGTACACTTTTTCTCATAAACGAGTCAAAAATGTAGGTGAACCAACAACAAAATCGTTTAAACAGATACTAACAACTCCCACCTTCGTATTATTTCATTGAACCCTATAAAGAGCAAGAACTACAAAAAAGGAAAAATAAAAAAACAAAAACATCTATTAGTTCTAATTTTTTTTATTTCTTACTTTTTTGTTTTTACTTAATTTTTTCTTCAATTTTTATTTATTTTTTTTTTATTTACCAGCAGGGGACTTAAAAACTATTTAATAATGAATGTGAATGTTGCAAGTAGTAGGAAAATATCGTTAAAGAAAATACTATTCAAAAAGAGTTACGATTTGATTTTGTAACTAAGTACTAGGTGCTTTGTTATTTTTTTCTTTGTATGATTCGTTTTTCTTATATATAGTATTCTTTGGAAATTTTTTTTAGGTCAATTGATGTTGACTACAATGTGAAGAAATAGAAAAATATAAAAACCAGTTTGTTATGGGGCGCAATTGTGGTTAAGAGAAATTGTTTAATATCAAATGCTTTTGGTATTTTTTCAGCCGGAACAAATTGTATCTATTAAAGTTTTTTTATTTCCTCATATTAGTGGTGGATAAGGACTAAAGTATGTATTTGGGAAATGGATTAGTTTTTGAAATGAATCATAGTTCTGTTGTGAGTAAAGCTAACATTTCAACATTATATTTATTCAAATTCAGTTTATTTGACTAATTTTATAAGTTAGGCGGTTTGCTGGTAAGAAAAAAACTTTTTTGTAACCATGCATTTTATTTATATTCATAATTCATGAACTATTGGAAATATTGTAACGAAAATTCAAATAATCGGAATTGAGTAGGTATTTTCCAGTTAACTTTCAGTTGTTTGGCTTTGAAGATTTATGATCCGATTAAAGCATATTTTTAAATACAGATAACCCTTCAAAAGATCTGCAATATACACTCATACATCTACAGTAGAGTTTCTGAGCAAGGGAAAATTATAAATATTATTTTTTGAAAGGGTCTTCAGTGCCTTACCAGCGATTGAAAATACTGATCTCAAAATAAATTGTAAAAAAAGTTTTTTTCTTCTCTCAAAAATGCCCTAACTTTGAGCTTATTGCGGGAAAAATAATCATAAAACTTTTCTAGAGAACTTTTAATTCAAAAATTTACCTTTAGTGCTAAGAGGTTAGATAAGAGGCATAAGAAATAAAATTTCAACTGACAAGAGAAAACGTAAAATAATTTGATCAACATTATTTGTCGTTAAGTTTATCGTAAAGAGCTAAAAGTCTTTTTATAGACCAAAAGTACTCAAAATAAGAAAAGCTGTGAAGTCCATTTTAATAAACTTTTTGTGTACAAATTTTACAGAGATCGGTATTATATATCACAGGTATTCCCCTATTCAGTACGCATCGTTTGAGAGATATGTCAACAAATACTGAGAAACTGTAATGTAAAGAGTTTCTATTTTATCAAGATATCCCAATCCCAATTTGGCTTCTGAATTACTCCATCGTGTATTACTCCATCGATATCGTGTCCTAGATTTTGAAGAAATTCAATCGGTCTTCTTCCTTCCTTAAGTGTGTTTCCAGTGGGTTAGTGGTTAGTGTTGTGCTAACTAACTAACTAACTAACTAACTAACTAACTAACTAACTAACTAACTAACTAACTAACTAACTAACTAACTAACTAACTAACTAACTAACTAACTAACTAACTAACTAACTAACTAACTAACTAACTAACTAACTAACTAACTAACTAACTAACTAACTAACTAACTAACTAACTAACTAACTAACTAACTAACTAACTAACTAACTAACTAACTAACTAACTAACTAACTAACTAACTAACTAACTAACTAACTAACTAACTAACTACTAACTAACTAACTACTAACTAACTAACTAACTAACTAACTAACTAACTAACTAACTAACTAACTAACTAACTAACTAACTAACTAACTAACTAACTAACTAACTAACTAACTAACTAACTAACTAACTAACTAACTAACTAACTAACTAACTAACTAACTAACTAACTAACTAACTAACTAACTAACTAACTAACTAACTAACTACTAACTAACTAACTACTAACTAACTAACTAACTACTAACTAACTAACTAACTAACTAACTAACTAACTAACTAACTAACTAACTAACTAACTAACTAACTAACTAACTAACTAACTAACTAACTAACTAACTAACTAACTAACTAACTAACTAACTAACTAACTAACTAACTAACTACTAACTAACTAACTACTAACTAACTAACTAACTAACTAACTAACTAACTAACTAACTAACTAACTAACTAACTAACTAACTAACTAACTAACTAACTAACTAACTAACTAACTACTAACTAACTAACTAACTACTAACTAACTAACTAACTAACTACTAACTAACTAACTAACTAACTAACTAACTAACTAACTAACTAACTAACTAACTAACTAACTAACTAACTAACTAACTAACTAACTAACTAACTAACTAACTAACTAACTAACTAACTAACTAACTAACTAACTAACTACTAACTAACTAACTAACTAACTAACTAACTAACTAACTAACTAACTAACTAACTAACTACTAACTAACTAACTAACTAACTAACTAACTAACTAACTAACTAACTAACTAACTAACTAACTAACTAACTAACTAACTAACTAACTAACTAACTAACTAACTAACTAACTAACTAACTAACTAACTAACTAACTAACTAACTAACTAACTAACTAACTACTAACTAACTAACTAACTACTAACTAACTAACTAACTAACTAACTAACTAACTAACTAACTAACTAACTAACTAACTAACTAACTAACTAACTAACTAACTAACTAACTAACTAACTAACTAACTAACTAACTAACTAACTAACTAACTAACTAGACCTAACTAACTAACTAACTAACTACTAACTAACTAACTAACTAACTAACTAACTAACTAACTAACTAACTACTAACTAACTAACTAACTAACTAACTAACTAACTACTAACTAACTAACTAACTAACTAACTAACTAACTAACTAACTAACTAACTAACTAACTAACTAACTAACTAACTAACTAACTAACTAACTAACTAACTAACTAACTAACTAACTAACTAACTAACTAACTACTAACTAACTACACTACTACTAACTAACTACCTAACTAACTAATTACTACTAACTAACTAACTAACTAACTAACTAACTAACTAACTAACTATCTAACTAACTAACTAACTCTCGTTAACTAACTAACTAAACGATCTTTCAGATGACATAACTAAATTTATAAACAATGTCAAAAACTGAGGTTTTCCTAATCTTTGCAACCCGATATATCGAAAGCATTATGTGTGAGGAATTTACACTTTGGTTTTTGGGTCCGGTTTAATTTTAACCCTATTTTCCCTATATAAAGCATTCTCCTACCAATAGACATAACTTTCAATTACATTAATAAATAGTGGGATTAAAACATCTTCAAATTTGTAAAACGTTTAAATATAATATCAAAAATAACCATTGGAATGGATTGAATCTATAGAGAAACCAAAAATCAGTTGGTATTCATTAAGTTACTGGTTTAAAGAGACATAAAGGCACCCAAAACCGGGGTTTTCAACTTTCAAAACAAGATTATTGTTTTACTTGGCAGCACTTACCAAATAATTGTATAACTTCCGAGGTATTTTTTGACTTTATGGTGTAATATTTATATAATTTGTTATTGAGATAAATTTTTCTCTGAAAACAAGTTTGAAGTTAGATAAAATAAGTTTCAAAATTGGAATTAATCACTTTAACACCTATGGGCATTTTATGCTAGTTTTAGGTTTCTATACACTACAACTATTTGCTACTTATGTAGAATTTGACACGTTATAATTTCACGGTACATATATATATTTTTATAAAAAAACTTCGATTTTTTTATACTTTTATTTATTATTTATTAAAAATAATTTCTAATAATCAATCAAATCAAACATTTTGTTAGAGAAAACGGTTTTATTGTAACCAAGCATGCATGTAAAGATACATACATGTATGTAAGAGTTTAAAAAATATACATACATGTGTATGTATGTATATGTTGTATGTATGTAAATGTGTCTGTGTTAGGACTTCATTTTTATTCCGCATGAAAAAGGGATAATAATAAAATAATAAAAATTTTATCAAATAATTTCTATTTCTACATGATGGATGTATGTATGTAAATATCTACATTAGTATGAGTGTAAGACGAGAGGAGAAAAGTTAAGCAAAAAATAAATAAATAAAAAAAGTAGGGTTCGTTCGTATAAATGGCCGAAAGGAAAAAACTTGGTCACATAGACACATTGTCTATGTATAAGACGGGGTTATAAACATATATGTATGTGTAAGTGTATGAGTGTGAGTATTTACGTGCAACGAACGTTTATGTACTTGATAACAAAAAAAGGAAAGACAAAACAAAAAGTAGGGCAGTGTGTTTTTGTTTTCATTTTCCTTTATCTGTTTGTTTTCATGCTCTTTTATTGTTCTTTCCATCTCTCTGTATCTCTCTCTCTGCAGTGCTAACAAAAGCTATTTGCTCTCCATAAACCGAGAAATTGAAAAACAGGCAACCAGGCATTTTATGTTTAAACGTTCAACGGTGCGGATGTGTAATATAAAATTTGTTTACAAGTAATAAATAATATTTAGTGCAGTTAAAGAAAACAAACTAAAACAAACATAAATTAATAAATAAAATATTTATAAAACTAAAAAAAAAATACATTTATATAAAAAATAATTAAAACTAAATAATTAATAACTTGTTCTTAAATTCGAATTCTGGTAAAATTTTTACTTTTTTATCCTTTTAGGGATTTTATACATATTTATGCTATTATTTTCTTAGTATGTGTGTGTATTCTTCGTTAAAAGCTTTTGAAAAGCTTTGAGTTTTATTTTGTCCGTTTTTTATCTGTTATTGTTGTTGTTCTATTTATTTGACTTCCTTTTGATGTCAGAAATAAGAGAAAAAGTGTTTATAAAAACAAAAAAAAATAAATAAAAAAAAACGATAAAAATCTTACCGCTTAAAACAGATAATCTGTCTTAATCATCAAAAAGAAACTAAACAAAATTAAATTTAAACATTAAAATTTTTCTACAAAATTAAATTTAAATTTTGCTTTTTCTTTGCAGAAAATAGAAATAACGTTTGAATAAAAATAAAGTTAAAAAAAAAAGAAAAATTGTGTTAACCTATTTAAAGTGCCATTGTTTTGAATTAATATAATTATTATTATAAAAAAATATATTTAAAATAAATATATATATAATAAATTAATAGAATACCAACCAATTACACTTAAATTAATTGATTTAAATTAATATTTAATAAATAAATTAAAAAAAAAAATCAAATCCTTGTGGCTTAAGCTTATTTAACAAATTATAATTTGTATTTTGTATTTAAACGTGTGTCTGTTATTAAATAAGTGTCAATTTTGTTAATTGGTATTCTGTAACAAAAACAACAAAATATATATTGAAAAAAATAAAATAAATAATTAAATTAAACGCCATACAATCCACTTTCCCTTTCGAGAAGCCTACAAATAATGGAATTCGTCCTGTAATTCTACACCAAAAAAAAATTTAGTGATTGCAAAACATTTATTAACTTCGATAAGTAACTCATGTGCAAGTTTTTGGTGTGAATGTTGGCAACAGTGGAGTGGCACGTTGGTTTAGCCTGTACTAGGTGAGTGTTTTTCCTTTGTTTTTAGAATTATATTCTTAAGTAAAAGAATTGTAAAAACTTTCTATAAACGTATAAATAAGCCTAAAAGTATACTTCTTTTCGCACAAATTATTATGAGATATAAAATCTTGGAATATTCTTGAATAAAATTCAAAGTTTTAGATTTTTATTGAATTATTGTGCCAGATAGTATTATAGTGAATTTATAAAGACTTTAGCCAATTTGGATAATGGTTATATAAACTTTAGGGAGAATGAAACGTTATTAAAGAAATGTTGTGAGTTTATTTTGTAGAGGAAAACTTCTATAAATAGAGCATTTATCGAAAATATCTATAAAAAGAAAAATTTTCCAAAAGATATTAAAAATTTACATAAAGATAGGATATTTTCTATAAGAAGAAAATGTTTCTATAAACAGAATTTTTGTAAAATAATTAAAAAAAAAGAATTTATTAAAAATCGTCATATAGAGAGAATGGGATATTTTTTAAATAGAGAATTTAATGAAATTTTTCAAAAATAATTTATCAAAAATCGCATTAAAGAGAGAATTTATAGAAAATTTTTCGAAAATCTTCTATAAATAGAAAATTAATCGAAAATTATCTATAAAGGGAAAAATTTTCAAAATTAATATTAAAAAGGAATTTATTAGAAATCGACATAAAGAGAGAACTTATAGGAAATTTTCTATAATTACAAAATATCTATAAATGGAGAATTTATCGAAAATTCTCTATAAAGAAAATATTTTTCAAAAAGTATTTAAATAGAGAATTTAGTAGAAATCGCAATAAAGAGAGAATTTATAGGATTTGTTCTATAAAGAGAAAATTTTTCGAAAATCATAAAGAGAAAAATTTTAAAGAGAAAAATTTAAAAAAATAATTTAAAATTTAATTTCTAGACTATAGACTAAACTATAGACTAGACTATAGACTACAGGCTAGACTATAGACTAGACTATAGACTAGACTATAGACTAGACTATAGACTAGACTATAGACTAGACTATAGACTAGACTATAGACTAGACTAGACTAGACTATAGACTAGACTATAGACTAGACTAGACTATAGACTAGACTATAGACTAGACTATAGACTAGACTATAGACTAGACTATAGACTAGACTATAGACTAGACTATAGACTATAGACTAGACTATAGACTAGACTATAGAATAGACTATAGACTAGACTATAGACTAGACTATAGACTAGACTATAGACTAGACTATAGACTAGACTATAGACTAGACTATAGACTAGACTATAGACTAGACTATAGACTAGACTATAGACTAGACTATAGACTAGACTATAGACTAGACTATAGACTAGACTATAGACTAGACTATAGACTAGACTATAGACTAGACTATAGACTAGACTATAGACTAGACTATAGAGACTATAGACTAGACTATAGACTAGACTATAGACTAGACTATAGACTAGACTATAGACTAGACTATAGACTAGACTATAGACTAGACTATAGACTAGACTATAGACTAGACTATAGACTAGACTATAGACTAGACTATAGACTAGACTATAGACTAGACTATAGACAGACTATAGACTAGACTATAGACTAGACTATAGACTAGACTATAGACTAGACTATAGACTAGACTATAGACTAGACTATAGACTAGACTATAGACTAGACTATAGACTAGACTATAGACTAGACTATAGACTAGACTATAGACTAGACTATAGACTAGACTATAGACTAGACTATAGACTAGACTATAGACTAGACTATAGACTAGACTATAGACTAGACTATAGACTAGACTATAGACTAGACTATAGACTAGACTATAGACTAGACTATAGACTAGACTATAGACTAGACTATAGACTAGACTATAGACTAGACTATAGACTAGACTATAGACTAGACTATAGACTAGACTATAGACTAGACTATAGACTAGACTATAGACTAGACTATAGACTAGACTATAGACTAGACTATAGACTAGACTAGACTATGGACTAGACTATAGACTAGACTATAGACTAGACTATAGACTAGACTATAGACTAGAAGGACTAAGACTAGAATAGACTAGACTATAGACTAGACTATAGACTAGACTATGACTAGACTATAGACTAGACTATAGACTAGACTTATAGGACTAGACTATAGACTAGGACTATAGACTAGACTATAGACTAGACTATAGACTAGACTATAGACTAGACTATAGACTAGACTATAGACTAGACTATAGACTAGACTATAGACTAGACTATAGACTAGACTATAGACTAGACTATAGACTAGACTATAGACTAGACTATAGACTAGACTATAGACTAGACTATAGACTAGACTATAGACTAGACTATAGACTAGACTATAGACTAGACTATAGACTAGAACTATAGACTAGACTATAGGACTAGACTATAGACTAGACTATAGACTAGACTATAGACTAGACTATAGACTAGACTATAGGACTAGACTATAGACTAGACATAGACTAGACTATAGACTAGACTATAGACTAGACTATAGACTAGACTATAGACTAGACTATAGACTAGACTATAGACTAGACTATAGACTAGACTATAGACTAGACTATAGACTAGACTATAGACTAGACTATAGACTAGACTATAGACTAGACTATAGACTAGACTATAGACTAGACTATAGACTAGACTATAGACTAGACTATAGACTAGACTATAGACGAGACTATACTAGTGATTCTAAATATATATTAAGATATGTTTTATTTAAGCAAAACATTATTTAAGTTAATCCATTTATTATTTTATTTAATCATTTGCGGTTGAATAAAAAAAAGTTTCAATAACAGTGCCATGAGTAGTAATTAAAGGTAATTCCAGTTTGTAATACAAAATTTACTTATCGATAATGATTAGTTGCCACAAAGTCCATACATATTTACTTAAAAATATATTTTTTTTATATTTGCGGGTTGAAAATAATGTTTTTAAACTGTATATATTTAAAATACTTATAAAATAAACAATGAGGTTTTATATTAGTTATTTCAGAAACAGCAAATATATATAATATTAAATTTATATTCTTATAATTTTAGGGAATTTTCGAAACCACAAATATAAAAACTCTTTGAATATATTACACATATCAAACAAAAACGTTTATTTTTAATTGTTCAACTTAATTAAATAGCATACTTTTTACTATTTACTACAAGTCATTAAATTTAAGTAGAATTAACGTACTATAAACTTGTACCTTGTACATATGTTTTTTGTAAAAGAATTTTTCAAACAGCCAAAGTGTTTAAAAAACTCCTTTGTCTAAAAAACAATAATATTTCCATTTTCCCATAAAGACACTGAAGGTTTTCTTTTCTTATTTCATACCTAATTTACTTTATTATATCGCATGTTTGATAATTTTTTCTTTCGTAAGAAAACACGCAAGTTTTCAAGCTTTTCAAAACGTTTGAAAAATGAAGTTGTTTTGTAGTCGTAAATTAAATATATGTGGCCTATTTGTTAAAACACATATTGTAAAGAAAAAATGCCATTAAATTAAATTTATGTTTTGAAAAAAAAAAAGAAAAACACGATTAAACCAAATAGAGTTTTATATGCATGTTTGCAATTGGTAGTACATATTGCAAAAAAATTTTAGCTGCATAATAGAAAATGAAAAAAAAAAAACTATAAACTACTTTCTTTATAAGATTTCTTTATAAGGATTTTATAAGATTATTCTATAAATTTTTTTAAAAATTTGTTTTATAATATTATCAAAAACTACTTAAAACTATCACTACTAGATATCGATAAATTTTCTCTTTGAAGAAGATTTTCTAAAAATTTTCACTTATATAAGAATGTTTTATAAATTCTCTTTTTTAAGATTTTTCCAAAAATATTCTTATAGTCATTATCTTTTCCATAGAAATGTTTTTCTCTTTACAGAAAATGTACGATAAATTCTCTATATAAAGAGAAATTTTCGATAAATTTTTACTTTTTACAAACATTTTCTCTTTATATTGAAAGTTTTGTTGAAATTTTCTCTTCTTGGAGAATTTTCGATAATAAAGAATTTTCTATAAATTCTCTTTTTACAGAGAATTTTTTTAACATTTTTTATAGAGAATTTTCTATTAATTCTCTTTCGCATTTTTATAAATTCTATTTTTACAAAGAATTTTAGATAAAAATTCCTCTTTAGTATATAGGCGACATTATAGTGTAGTCTACATACTAGACCATTGTTGAAACTGCAGTTGAGCCTAGCTTAGTCTATAATGGAGACCTTGGTCTGAACCTATTGTATAGGTTAAGGCTATACATTATTTCGTAGTAAGACTTAAGTTTAATCTTGGTCATTATTAAGTCTTTAGTTAAGACTATAGTTTAGTCTGTAGTCAGGATTATAGTTTTTTATAAAAACGGCGATAAAATTTAGTCTATAGTCGGGTGTATTCTATATAGAATATAGTTTAGTCTATGGTTAATACTATAGTTTAGTCTGTAGTCAGAATTATAGTTTTTTTTAAAGTCGACACTAAAATTTAGACTATAGTCTATAGTTTAGTCTATAGGATACAATATAATTTAGTCTTCAGTTAAAACTATAGTTTAGTCAGCAGCCGAGACTATAGTTTTTTTCTATATTTAGTCGACACTATATTTTAGTCTATAGTCGATTTTACACTTTAGTTTTTAGGCTTCATTATAGTATAGTCTATAGTCTAGTCTATAGATTACTTTACAGTCTACAGTCAAGATTATAGTTTAAACTTAAGTCTAGCCCATAGTCTAGACTAAATTATAGTTTGGAGACGATACTATAGTTTATTCTAAAGACTAGACTCTCATCAGTCCATAGTCTATACACAGAGGTAAAAAGAAATATACACGCCTAGTACCAAATTGAGACCAAACTGTTTATAATTTTTCAATACCATCCGTTGTCAAAGAATATACATACGTACGACAACACTATGTAATGTTGACAACGCAACGTTGTCAACATTGCAACAATTCGATGTCGAAATCTAAATTTTATACACATCCGTTGTCTAAATGTTAACAAAAGTGGTAAGCTCACTATTGACAAACAATCCGTTACCAATGGTGAGCTTTCAACGTTTGTTAACATTTAGACGACGGATGTGCATAAAATTAAGATTTCGACAACGAATTGTTTCAATGTTGACAACATTGCGTAGTGTTGTCGTACGTATGTATATACTTTGACAACGGATGTTATTGAAAAATTATAAACTATTTGGTGTCAATTTGGTACCAGGCGTGTATATTTCCTTTTCCCTCTGTGTAGTCGACACTACTATATAGCATATATTCAGGCATACAATATTGTCTATATTTTAATGATATTTTTCAAACTATAATCATTTAGATATTGTTATAATAATATATATTACGTGGTTAACAAAGGATAAATAATTTTCTATAAAAGAGAAAATCAAATTATAATTCTTTATATTGTTTAACTGAATCCAATTATTGGTTATGTTTAAAAATTTATAAAGCAATTTAAACTTAAATAATAAAAACGAGTCATTAACTTGTCACATTTTATACAAAAACATTTGCATGGACAAACAAATATACATTAGGGTGACACTATCTAAAATAAAATCTATATATATTAATACAATAACATTATTTTTAATATTTTTTTTTAATTTCCCAAAAATATAGAGCCGTCCTAATGTACATCTATGTTTTCTTATTGTATACATAAACGCATACCACCACACAGTGGTATAGGAAAAAAAAAAAGAGGGAAATAATTCGGTAACTTCTAAACGGTTAATCCGATTTTAATGAAATTTGGTATGCACAAAGAGGAGGTGTTGTCGAGTTTAGGTTTTGAATTTGGACCTTATAGGCCAACCAGGGGCCCGGCGGGGGGTCCTCAAATTAGGACACCTCGGCTATGTTAAATTTTTAAAACGATCCTATTTCTTCATTTGAGTTCCGATTTAAAAAAAATTTCGTATATAGAATCTCCTCATCGAGCACTATAAAAAATGTCGTCGTAGCAGTAAATTATCTCTTATAGTTTAGGAGATATTCGCATTTGAATATTAAAATTTTAAAATTTTTACCGTCCTTACTTTAGTTTTTTTGATAATAGCAGGTCCAAATATTTCCGATTTTCGCCATTTTTTTTATTTGCTTAACAACAAGTTTATATACCAAGCAGTGAAAGAATTATGTAAAAATCATGACTGAGTCCAAAGTTATAGGCATTTAAATTTAAAAAATTAAAAAAAGGCGATTTTTTGTCATTTTTTTGGGAAAAAAGTATCTTTTTCTTTTTAAGTTATCTAAAAAGTTTCTAAGAAGATGTATATAGAATTTATACTTTTTGGAAAGCTGACTTTACATAAAATACGATAAATGAAACAAAACCTAAAAATTTTTGATACCGAGGGGACCAGGTCCATCCAAAAAAACCCTATTTTTTATGGAAAATTAAATTTTGAGCAAAAATTCTCAAATCGCATAGTCGATATCAAATTATAGTGACCTGTTTTATATGACCCAATAAGTTCTTAATCATTTTGTAACGGGTTTCGATAACCCCGCCCCTGTTATGGATATAATAGGCAAAAAACCAAAAAATCCCATTTTTGGGATTTTTTAAAACTTTTTTGGGAATTCCGGGATTTCTAATAAGAAAATTCGAAATTTTTATTTAATTTTGGATTTTGAGTAAAAAAATCTACCTAACTGTAAAATTTCATCAAAAAATATTCATAAATAAAATTTTTATTGCAATTTGAAAAATTTGTATCTTCGCAAAAACTGAATAAAAAACATTTTTTAATTTTTTTTAAAAAAAGTATTCCGCGAATTTTTTAATTTTCAAAAATTATATACAGTTTTGAAAAATAGACAAAATTACCTTTCCATTGATATATAACATGCCTACCTAATGTTTTTTAAGTGACAAATTAATTAGGGAAAACTCAACATCTTTTAGAAAATTTGCCTAGCACTATTATTTTCATCCATAAGGTTAACTCTTAAATTTGTTACATATATGGATGAAAATAATAGTGCTAGGTAAATTTTCTAAAAGATGTTGAGTTTTCCCTAATTAATTTGTCACTTAAAAAACATTAGGTAGGCATGTTATATATCAATGGAAAGGTAATTTTGTCTATTTTTCAAAACTGTATATAATTTTTGAAAATTAAAAAATTCGCGGAATACTTTTTTTAAAAAAAATTAAAAAATGTTTTTTATTCAGTTTTTGCGAAGATACAAATTTTTCTAATTGCAATAAAAATTTTATTTATGAATATTTTTTGATGAAATTTTACAGTTAGGTAGATTTTTTTACTTAAAATCCAAAATTAAATCAAAATTTCGAATTTTCTTATTAGAAATCCCGGAATTCCCAAAAAAGTTTTAAAAAATCCCAAAAATGGGATTTTTTAGTTTTTTGCCTATTATATCCATACCAGGGGCGGGGTTATCGAAACCCGTTACAAAATGATTAAGAACATATTGGGTCATATAAAACAGGTCACTATAATTTGATATCGACTATGCGATTTGACAATTTTTGCTCAAAATTTAATTTTCCATAAAAAATAGGGTTTTTTTGGATGGACCTGGTCCCCTCGGTATCAAAAATTTTTAGGTTTTGTTTCATTTATCGTACTTTATGTAAAGTCAGCTTTCCAAAAAGTTTAAATTCTATATACATCTTCTGAGAAACTTTTTAGATAACTTAAAAAGAAAAAGATACTTTTTTCCCAAAAAAATGACAAAAAATCGCCTTTTTTTAATTTTTTAAATTTAAATGCCTATAACTTTGGACTCAGTCATGATTTTTACATAATTCTTTCACTGCTTGATATATAAACTTGTTGTTAAGCGAATAAAACAAAATGGCGAAAATCGGGAATATTTGGACCTGCTATTATCAAAAAAAACTAAAGTAAGGACGGTAAAAATTTTAAAATTTTAATTTTCAAATGCGAATATCTCCTAAACTATAAGAGATAATTTACTGCTATGACAACATTTTTTATAGTGCTCGATGAGGAGATTCTATATACGAAATTTTTTTTAAATCGGAACTCAAATGAAGAAATAGGATCGTTTTAAAAATTTAACATAGCCGAGGTGTCCTAATTTGATGACCCCCCGCCGGGCCCCTGGTTGGCCTATAAGGTCCAAATTCAAAACCTAAACTCGACAACACCTCCTCTTTGTGCACACCAAATTTCATTAAAATCGGATTAACCGTTTAGAAGTTACCGAATTATTTCCCTCTTTTTTTTTTCCTATACCACTGTGCACCATTTTAATCATATTTCTATATGAATGTTTAATAAAGCGTAATTTGTTATTACAGTATCAGGGTATAAATACGAAATAAATAAAACGTAAACTGAAAAAGAAACCAAAAAGAAAAAAATTAACAAAAAAATATGAATGAATGACAATCAAATACGACAATTGAAGGATTTTAAAGGTGGTCGCGTCAATGGTCACAGATTAATATTGACAATGGTCTATTGGTGTCCACATTGTCATGAAAATGGACAGTTGCCACCACCATCCTCTAAGGTAAAACAATAGTAAAAAATATAAAATAAGAAAAACATACAAACATTTTAGACATTTTCATGTAAATCTATACATATGTCTATGAATGTACATATGTATGTCATGTAAGGTACTTTCACGTTATTTTTTTGTATTCATTTTGTAAATTCTATTCGTAATTATTTTGGCGGTCATTTTTTTTTGCTGACGAAATAATTTTTAAATTGTAAATTTTCTATTTGTCTAACAGTGCAATTGTGTGTAATTTTGTGTAAAAAATGAAAATTGTTTAAAATTTTCGTCTTATTGCTCTAATTTATTATTTGTCATGCTTGTTTTGTGTAAAAAATAAGAAAAAGAAAATAAACATAAATACATACATTTGTACATAAAAAAATAGGTAAATTCATATGTTGGCTATAAATGTAGTACTTATAAAATGCTATTCACACTTACTCATTATATTTTCATTCATCATATTAGTTAAGGTGAAAAATGTTAATTTTTCTATATCTAGAACATTTTTTTGACAAATTTGAGATTTTGTAATATAGTTTACAATTCAGACTATAGTTTAGTTTATGGTAGACACTATCATTTAGACTGCAGTCGAGACTATAGTTTACTCTATAGTTGAGACTATAGTTGAGTCTATAGTTGAGATTATACCTTAGTCTATAATTGAGAATATAGCATAGTCTATAGTCGAGACTATAGCTTAGTCTATAGTTGATAATATAGCTTCGTCTTTAGTTGATACCATAGCTTAGTCTATAATCGAAAATATAGCATAGACTATATTTGAGACAATAGCATAGTCTCTAGTTGAGACTATAGCTTAGTCTATAATCGAGACTAAAGCTTAGTTTGTAGTTGAGGCTATAGTTAAGTCTATAGTCGAGACTATAGTTAAGTCTATAGTCGAGACTATAGTTAAGGTTATAGTCGAGACTATAGTTATGTCTATAGTCGAGACTACAGATAAGTCTATAGTTGAGACTACAGTTAAGTCTATAGTCGAGACTACAGTTAAGTCTATAGTCGAGTGGACACTAAGCATAGTCAATATTCGAAACTATAGCTTAGTCTATAGTCGAGAATATAGCTTAGTCAGTTATGTCTATAGTCGAGACTATAGTTATGTCTATAGTCGAGACTATAGTTATGTCTATAGTCGAGACTATAGTTATATCTATAGTCGAGACTATCGTTATGTCTATAGTCGAGTCTATAGTTAAGTCTATAGTCGAGACTATAGTTAAGTCTATAGTCGAGACTATAGTTAGGTCTATAGTCGAGACTACAGTTAAGTCTATAGTCGAGACTACAGTTATGTCTATAGTCGAGACTATAGTTATGTCTATAGTCGAGACTATAGTTATGTCTATAGTCGAGACTATAGTTATGTCTATAGTCGAGACTATAGTTATATCTATAGTCGAGACTATCGTTATGTCTATAGTCGAGTCTATAGTTAAGTCTATAGTCGAGACTATAGTTAAGTCTATAGTCGAGACTATAGTTAGGTCTATAGTCGAGACTACAGTTAAGTCTATAGTCGAGACTACAGTTATGTCTATAGTCGAGACTATAGTTATGTCTATAGTCGAGACTATAGTTATGTCTATAGTCGAGACTATAGTTATGTCTATAGTCGAGACTATAGTTATGTCTATAGTCGAGACTATAGTTATGTCTATAGTCGAGACTATAGTTATGTCTATAGTCGAGACTATAGTTATGTCTATAGTCGAGACTATAGTTATGTCTATAGTCGAGACTATAGTTTTGTCTATAGTCGAGACTATAGTTATGTCTATAGTCGAGTCTATAGTTAAGTCTATAGTCGAGACTATAGTTAAGTCTATAGTCGAGACTATAGTTAAGTCTATAGTCGAGACTACAGATAAGTCTATAGTCGAGACTACAGTTAAGTCTATAGTCGAGTGGACACTATAGCATAGTCAATATTCGAAACTATAGCTTAGTCTATAGTCGAGAATATAGCTTAGTCAGTTATGTCTATAGTCGAGACTATAGTTATGTCTATAGTCGAGACTATAGTTATGTCTATAGTCGAGACTATAGTTATATCTATAGTCGAGACTATCGTTATGTCTATAGTCGAGTCTATAGTTAAGTCTATAGTCGAGACTATAGTTAAGTCTATAGTCGAGACTATAGTTAGGTCTATAGTCGAGACTACAGTTAAGTCTATAGTCGAGACTACAGTTATGTCTATAGTCGAGACTATAGTTATGTCTATAGTCGAGACTATAGTTATGTCTATAGTCGAGACTATAGTTATGTCTATAGTCGAGACTATAGTTATGTCTATAGTCGAGACTATAGTTATGTCTATAGTCGAGACTATAGTTATGTCTATAGTCGAGACTATAGTTATGTCTATAGTCGAGACTATAGTTTTGTCTATAGTCGAGACTATAGTTATGTCTATAGTCGAGTCTATAGTTAAGTCTATAGTCGAGACTATAGTTAAGTCTATAGTCGAGACTATAGTTAAGTCTATAGTCGAGACTACAGATAAGTCTATAGTCGAGACTACAGTTAAGTCTATAGTCGAGTGGACACTATAGCATAGTCAATATTCGAAACTATAGCTTAGTCTATAGTCGAGAATATAGCTTAGTCAGTTATGTCTATAGTCGAGACTATAGTAATGTCTATAGTCGAGACTATAGTTAAGTCTATAGTCGAGTCTATAGTTAAGTCTATAGTCGAGACTATAGTTAAGTCTATAGTCGAGACTATAGTTAAGTCTATAGTCGAGACTACAGATAAGTCTATAGTCGAGACTACAGATAAGTCTATAGTCGAGACTACAGTTAAGTCTATAGTCGAGTGGACACTATAGCATAGTCAATATTCGAAACTATAGCTTAGTCTATAGTCGAGAATATAGCTTAGTCAATAGTCGAGACTATAGCTTAATCTATAGTGGTCTATAGTCGAGATTATAGCTTAGTCAATAGTCGAGACCATAGCTTAATCTATAGTGATGACTGTAGCTTAGTCTATAGTCAACACTATAGCTCAGTCTATAGTCGACATTATAGTTTAGTTTATCGTCAAAACAACAGCTTAGTCTATAGTCGAGACTATAACTTGATATTTAATCGAGACTATAGTTTAGTCTATAATCGATACTATAATATAGACTATACTTGAGACTATAGCTTAGTATCTAGACAATGCTATAGATGAATTATATCAAACTCTTATGGAAAACATCAAGAAATTTCCTTTACCCTCAACCAACAATACAGGCCGCACAAACAACTAAACTACTAGCTGTAATTTGGCAAATAGTATATATATTTATAATTTCTTGGCGAGCTCATGAATATTAACGTATCTAATGTCTAATGTTTATGGTTTTTAAATACTTGACTTTGAAATTTGTTAAATTTATTTTTCTTATTGAGGGGGTTGTACAATTCAGCTTTCACTGTTTAATTTAGTGGGCCAATGTGAATGTTGTTTTTATGTTTCTTTTGCTATACATACATATGTATACGAAAACAACAAACAATAATAAGAAATATATTTAAATGTTAGTTTATTTTTATTGGTCATTTGTTTTCATTCCAAACCAACTTAAAGGGCAGCAAAAACAAGACTTTGTTAAACTAAAATAAACTAAAGAAAAAAAAAAAAAAACATTTTATCGATTACGGAGAATTACATAATATGTGTAAAACAACATTTAAACAAATAAATATTTAGAATATTCGCCAAAAAACAACACGAGAATAACAATAAACACTTGCAAACATTCAAGCCAAATAAATAAACAACATATTTTGAGGCGAGTTCTGTAATACAATTGCAGCTGAAATTTGTTGTCTTAAGGACAATGTCAAAAGTAAATTTTTAGGTTTAGGTCATCGTGTCTTAATGAAGATTATTAAGGGAGTTTATGGAAAATTTACCATTGAGTCTGCTATAAGCTATGTAAGAAGCTGAAATTAAATAACTATTTTTACCCTCAAACGAAACAAAATAAACTATAGACACTGATGATTGTTGACCTTTTGTTTTAAACTCTTTCAAGCCTTATCCCCACTGACTTGTAGCCATTGTCGTCTTCGTTGTTATTATTATTATTTATTATTTATGAATTGTTGCCAAAAAAAATCTTATGCCGTTTTCAATAATGATATATTATACTGAGTGTTTGTAAAATTTCACGTTTTCAACAATTAAAATTATTATTAAAAACCACAAATATATATGTATATACTTATTGTGGAAAAAATATAAAGGAAATAAATAAGCAATTGATAAATAAAATTTGTTAGTTATTTGGCAACAAAATGTGCTTTATCTTTAAATTATGAAATTAGATTTTTATAAATAAAACATAGACCAGCTGTTTTAAATAAGAACTTTACATATACAGTATTATGCACGAGTCTATATTAGAGGATAAATGTATATAGTTCATTCTATATTTTCCATTGACTGAACTATATATAGTTCAGTTCTAAGACGAAACTATTGTTTCTATATAGTCGAAACTATAGTTGAATATTTTAGACTATGTCTATAGCCGAGAATAGAGTTCAACAAACTAATAGAGTAGTTAACTAACTAAATAACTAACAAACAAACTAACTAACTAACTAACTAACTAACTAACTAACTAACTAACTAACTAACTAACTAACTAACTAACTAACTAACTAACTAACTAACTAACTAACTAACTAACTAACTAACTAACTAACTAACTAACTAACTAACTAACTAACTAACTAACTAACTAACTAACTAACTAACTAACTAACTAACTAACTAACTAACTAACTAACTAACTAACTAACTAACTAACTACTAACTAACTAACTAACTAACTAACTAACTAACTAACTAACTAACTAACTAACTAACTAACTAACTAACTAACTAACTAACTAACTAACTAACTAACTAACTAACTAACTAACTAACTAACTAACTAACTAACTAACTAACTAACTAACTACTAACTAACTAAC